ATTAGAAGAGTTTGAGAAGAATATTCCGCCGCTGGAATATTTAATAAGCAATGTGAGACCTGCAGAATTATTGAGTATATGGCACAAACTGCCTGCAGAATACACATCCAATTTTGATCTTCAAATACGACTTCCATGCTATGTTCACTACAACAGACCTGATTGGACAACACATTGGGATGGACCGGCTACTGCTCAAGCAAATTGTTATTTCTGTAAATTATCCATTCGAAAATAAACAAAAAAAAAAACTTGAATAAATGCTTAGTACACAGCTATATTTTTTCATTCATCATGTCGCAGTTGTTGAGAGTCAATAGCACTACTCATATATTTTCATTTCGTCCTTCAACACCGATAGTGTTGGATCCGAAAAAAGATTATGAATTGGCGCTTAGGTCTTTTACTTCATACAATTCCATACCGAATATTGAAAAAGGAGATAAATTTTATTATATCGACCGGATAGGTGGTGGTGGTGGTCAATTAAAAGTCATCGAGTTTCCGACAGGTTGTTATGAAATTACCGACATAGAAACATTTATACGAACGCAAATGAATCTTGAAAATGAAGTTGCTCCTCCGGATGATTATTTTTCTCTAAAACCTAACAATAATACACTGCAATGTGAAATCTTTAGCAAGTATTATAAAATAGTTTTTACAGAACCGAATAATCTTGGACATCTATTGGGATTCTCGAAAAAAGTTCTTAATCCTGGTCAAAAGCATTCTTCTGATTTACCTGTAAACATAATAAAAGTATCAACCATACACTTTGATGCTAACATTACGTCGGGAGCCTTTGACGGAGACACGCCTGCACACACGATCTACGAATTTGCTGTGACAGCCGATCCTGGATACGCTATAGTCGAAACACCTGTAAATTTACTATATCTACCTGTTATACCGAAACAAGAAATAACCAACATCACAGTGTTGGCTTTAGATCAAGACGGTCGTCCTGTAAACTTTCAAGGTGAAACTAGTACTCTTGTGTTGGAGTTGAGAGCGAAGCGCAGATGGGATTAGTGATTATAAGACATAGTGGTGCTTCCAAGGCAACTTCAGTATTACCCCAAGCACCTAAGCGACGACATCTACTACTAACTACATCAAATATCCTGTTTCTACGCTCACTTGGATATCATGTCAACAACAACAAGAATCATGTACAAAAAGAGAAAAACTGAGGAGGCAGCAGCAGCAGCATCACATACTTCTCCGATGTTTGATCTATATCGATCTCCAGCATTCGATGAATCTATTCGCAAGGCTGAGTATAGATCTTATACGCCGTTCATCAGGTCATTTAATTGTAATGATGTTGTGGAATTTAGCATCAATCAAGTAGATTCGTTCTTTGCAATGAACGCTTCCCTTCTATCTATCAAAGGAAAAGTTGAAATAACTGGAGGAGGAGGAGCAGGAGATGTATCTTTAGCTCCAAACTTTGGTGCCTTCCTATTTGACTCTTGCACTTACAGTGAATCCGCTAGAGAAGTTGAAACAGTACGTGATCCTGGTATTGTAAGTACTGTCCGAGCTTACGTATGTTACAGTGAGGAAGACTCAAATCATATGGCTATAGCTGGATGGAACTATCCTTCAACACCTATAATGGCGTCAACACATAACAAGTCTTTTAGCTTGCTAATGCCGCTTAAACATATTTTCAACATTTTCAATGATTATCCTATGATTACGTGTGGCAGACAAACTCTCAGATTTGTGAGAGCTAGAAACGATAACGATTGTATCATTATCAAGGAAAAAACTGGAACGACGACGACAGCGAAAATAACTATTGAAAGCATGGAACTGAAAATCAAACATATTTACCCGAGTGATGATGTGAAAGAACAACTTTTGAAAGCTATTCAAACTGATAAGCCGATACTTATACCATTTAGAAAATGGGATCTGAATGAACTGCCTGCAATTACCGCAGATGCGAGAAGAGAAATATGGTCAGTTAAAACTAGCACCGCAATCGAAAGACCACGTTTCATTATAGTATGTTTCCAAACCGGTAAACGTGACGTCGCAACCTCAGACCCTACCCTGTTTGATCACGTGAATGCTGCTAGTATTCGAGTATCTTTAAATGGTGAATACTATCCCAACGAACGTATGCAATTGGACTTTGCAAACAATCACTTTACTGAAGCTCATTTCAACTATAGCGACTTTCAAACCAGCTATACAACTTCTTCTTCTCCTCTGAAGAGATGTCTTTTAGATTATACCGCTTTTAAAAATCGCGCTTTGTTTGTTATTGACTGTTCCAAACAAGAGGAAACCATGAAATCATCAACTGTTGATGTTAGATTGGATATCGAAGCCGATACTGGCTTTCCAACCAACACCAAGGCCTACTGCATCATTATACATGACTGCTTAATCGAGTACTTCCCCCTCACCGAAGTTATTAAAACCATCTCGTAAGCAACGAAGGACTCTCAGTTCCGCATCAGACATCATGAGGATCGCGTTTGTTGACATTCAAGGCTTTACAGTTGACGGATTATTCGTACCTAAAGAACTATGTATCGAAATTGGTTTCAAGAAAAGTCATTACATCTTTACACCTCCGCAACCTTTTTCTACATTAAATACTAAAGACAAGAAAACTGTCGCTTACTTGGAGAAGAATTTCCATGGGCTTAAATATTCTTCCGGCGACGTTAAATATTCCAAGTTAAATGAAATAATTAAAAATAAGGTGATATATGCGGCTGACTATGTCTACGTTCGTGGAGAACAGAAAGCAAACTTTTTACTCAAGAAATGTCACATTTTTGGTGTTTTTCCCAACATTATTGATGTTTGCAAGTATGATGGTACACCGTGTGCTACTGGAAACTTTGTTGCTGATTCCAATCCATGCCACACCAACGGACAATTTTCCTGTACCCAGAGAAATGTTGAACGTCTACGCCACTGGTTTTCAAATATCATATTACCTATGTAGTTTTTTCTATTTTCAATAAAATATTAAACGTATTATTGTAGTTTTATTGAAAATACCTCTGGTTTGCGAAATAATTGTCAGAATGTCTATACTATTTTCATTTTGAACGGTATCATCCTGTATAATAATAACAGTACATCGTATACAGGTTATGAGACATTCTGACCGACCGACCGACCGACCAGAGGAGCCCACCACGCTATTTAGGTCACGCCTTGCTATATACGATTTAACGATATACCGTCGGTCCATCGATCCGCTATTTTTCGATGCACCCCTGTATACACGTTGCCCCCCGTAATCCACGCCAACACCAGACAGGTGCGACATCGGCGCCATCTATGCGCGAGATGCCCAACCCATCAATGGCAGCTGTCCAATGACGCATAGATTCCGTTAGGTTTGTACAGCGCCAAACAAATCGGCGCCATCTATGCGCGAGATGCCCAACCCATCAATGACAGGTGTCCAATGACGTATGACAGATGACGTTTTAACGCCATCTATGCGTGAGATGCCCAATGACGCATGACAGGTGTCCAATGACACACAGATTCCGTTTGGTTTGACAGCGCCATCTAGCGGCGGAATCCCCAACTCATGAATTTCGATTACAGATTCCGTCCAACAACCTGTCAATGGCGCGCGACGCCAGCGCCTCTGGTGGCGGATTTTGGAAGTTTTGAGACCGAATCCCCATAAGACATCTACTAGTGTCCCCAACAACCGTAATGAGTATAACTAATAAGGTGCTCCACTTTATGGTAAAACTGAAGTCAGCCTGTATCATTTTTCTCAAAAATGAAGCTGAAGTACAATAACAATATCCAATACCCGGCAAAATTCTAACTTGTCACATTTCAAATAATAACCAGACATATAAAACTACTCTTGAGTTGGGTAAATACCACAATTTTGCGGTGATAACTATGACATATAACAGCTGATTAGTGACGTCACGGATCTTATAACCAAACTGATAACTACACTCGCTTGAACGGATTGGTAAATACCAACCCAAAATGGAAATACCATTTCCATTTGGTTATCCGCTTGAATTTGATTAATGTCTAGAAAACCTATACATAGTAAAGTCCACTTGCTGCCCAGTCCTAGATAAAGACGCGATAGTCCCAAAACAGGAATTCCAAATATACTAGCAGAACACAAAAATGAACTTAGAAATCTACTGTGAAACAAGCTTTAGCGTTTGGTTTGCTACTGTCCGCTAGATGGCGCTGGATCTTCAAACCCTTTCTGGCTTATTTCAATTTGGTATCTAATGGCGCTAAATATCGATTGAAAATCCAGCGCCACCTGTGAGACAGTAGCAAAACCAAATACTAAATCATTTCAGAATACGTTTTCAAATTCATTTTTGTGTACCGCTACTGTCTTATAGATACAGTATACGATTGGCCATCTTCTAGTGGAATTTGATGCTTATAAAAGTGCCTGCCTCTGTAATGACATTAGCAAAGTCTGGAGTAATTATAATGTGAAAATTATGAAGCACACAAAAGACGTATTTCAAAATCATCCCTTCAACGAACATTTTGAACACACCTCGTATTAAAGGACGCCATCTCGATCAGCTGTTGTGTCTTGCTAAAGGAGGCTGTCGCTGTTTACAACCGGAGACTGGATTTTTTTAGTCGGGAATGTTTGGAATGCCTTCAGTAACATGTGTCGCTTTTTTATACCGTGAATGTAATAAATAAATAGTAAAAAGATACTTACAATAAAGGATCAGCCGGATATGAATGGAATTTATACGGAGATTTGCTTGTCATATTCCGACAACCTAGAGCCGAACAAGCGATACCCTTGTATCTGCCTTTATGCATTATATCGATAGAATTTTAGAAAATTTCTGAAAATCACTTCATACACCAAAAACTGTGCAGGTAGAGGTAACTATGCGACTCGAACCGAGTCGGCGAGTCCTTCACTCCTTAATATTCCTCTTCTCTCTTTCTATTCATGCGTCTACCTCTATCTAGATGCCTTCGGTCGGCGCGGATTGCTTTGATCTCAAACGAGCACCAAATAAAGAAGCGACGTTGTCACGTTGTGAGCGCGATGCGTTTCGGTGAAAGATAAAATAGAGTCGTTATGGCCAAAGTTATAGTGCAGTCAGAGGACACGGTAGAATATTATGATGATCGGGTGGTGGGAAGTAAGGTGTTAGTTTCCAGTTGTAGGACAGCATTTGATTGGCCAGTTTTAGACAGAACCGTATTTAACAGTTTGTGATGATAAAATAGAAATCAGCTGTCATCAAGACCAAGAGGAAAATAAATTAAACACATGCATGCTAAGTCCATTGAATATAGATACTTTTAACAAAAATTCATACAAATTAGGTAAACATGAATGAAGTGTAAATGCGACATTTTATTTCACAGTGCCGATCTACTTGACATCATATTTATTTTTAGGGCATATCCCGAATACTGATGTTAATATTTCACAGCAAAGAACTTTATCAGATATTGGGATCGATCAACCACTTTTGGCGGCAAAATGATGGAGTCGATTTAAATGACGTTTACGTTAAAGTAATGTTTCGATTTTACTCAACTGGCATGGTAGTGGCAATCGTTTTCTTTTTCTTCCAAATGGCCATGTTAGGTAAGCATTAAAAGATTTGACGTCTCGAAACAGTTTTCTTACACACTGCGCTGCGAAAAAACCGACGAAGAATTTTTATAAACAGCACAGATCGTCAAGATTAAATTTATTTTCTTCTGCAAAAATGAATATGTTTTTAAGATTCACTTTCCAAAAGGGATTAGAGCTGATATTAGAATATTTGCATTGTAAGAAAAATTAAACAATAGCTGAACCTAGAACCTCTATGGCAAAAAACTATTAAATTACTTTCTACCGAGTTCGAAATTCCTTTTACTTGGCACTTTTATATCTAATTCCTTTTCCATTTTGGTATTAACACCGAAATTTCTTGATTTTAGGTGGCAATCCGTCATTTCCGAGCTACATGCCAGAAGGGATTCCGTTCTATCTCGTCTATATCTACGAAATTTTCGTGGTTTTGACCGGCGTGATTTTTCCTCTGGTTTTCTCAGGTCTGTTCTTCATGACCATCATAATGCTTCTCCAGAAACAGTTCAAACTTCTGAACGAACAGCTTGTGAAAACGTTTGACTGCGAGCCGTACGTTTTGGAAAGTGAAAAAATCGTTAAAAGGAATATCAAAAGGTGTATTCGACATCATAATTTTCTCTTGAGGTGATATGCATATTTTCGCTTTCAATAGATATTATACGAATAAGTACATATAAGTCACAAAACCCGCTTACTCTCAGTACGATTTTCACAAGTTAACAAAATAAATTGAAATTTTGAGATAGAACAATGTCTAAATGTGAATGAAAACTTTCTCCATTTCAGATGCATTGCAGATTTGAATTCGGTTCTTTCGAAAACTTTGTTGACCCACATTTTCTTTATGGTATCTGGAGTCTGCACTCATATGTATTCTTTATCATTAGTGTAAGTATGTACTTATGAAGATTATGAAGAATATTATTGACACTTCTTTTATAACGAGTTGATATTGTAGTGAAAATATTGACGAGATGATAGAGCCCGCATTGAGAATATTAATGGGATTGTTTGAATTGAACCTCTGCTTTTCTTTACCAGCGCAATCGATGGTTGATCAGGTAAAAGACTATAAGTTTGTCTATCATATTAATTCTCAAAGTTCATCACGTTGTCATGTTTCAAGGCAGAGCAACTGGGTCTGAGCTTGTACATGAGCAAATGGTACAAATATCCAGGATACGCAAAATCTGTACTTATCGGACTATCTAGCGATAATATTGAAACGTTCATCGATATTGGTGGATTTGGCAGACTTAACATGCAGACTTGTTTGCTGGTAAAATAGCTTCAGCTTTTCATATCACAGTCAACATATACTAAGTGACATATAAATCCGAACACCCAGTTTAAATGGTTTTATTTTAATAAAAGTTGGTGAATGTATTTATCTTACTGTAAATAACAAGTGAAAAAATTTTCAGCCTTATCAGTTGGACATTCCGGTTTTTCTACTGTTTTTTTTTAATTCACTAACGCTCTAAAAATGAATATTTCAGCCGCAGTAAAGAATCAACGTTGGCGGATTTTGATTCTTGACATCCTTCACGATCGGTTACGATGCCTAGAGTACGGAGACCTGTACGATTTCGTCAACTTAGTGAGTTTGATAGGGCCCGCATAGTGGGACTTCGGGAAGCTGGACTTTCTTTTCGGGCAATTGCAGTTAGAGTGCAAAGAAGTGTAGACACTGTGGTTAGGTGTTGTCAGGCATGGCTTCGAGAAGGCCGTACGCAAAGAGCAAGGGGCACTGGACGCCGCCGTAGAGCAACAGACCGTGAAGATCGCCGCCTAAGATTATTGGCCTTAAGGGACCGTTTGTCCACTACCAGGTCCATTGCAAATGAATGGTTTGCAGAACACGGAAGACCTATTGGCATGCGAAGTGTTTACCGACAAATGGCTTGTTTTCATACCGGCCACACTGGGTCCTCCCTTTAACTCGAGAACACCGACGTAATCGTCTTGAGTGGTGCAGACAACGGTCACTCTGGGATCAGGAATGGAACAGTATTGTCTTTAATGACGAGTATCGATTTTGTTTAGGCATGCACGATGGTCGTGCCAGGGTTAGAAGGCGACGTGGTGAGAGGAGGAATCCACAGTTTTTTGTTGAAAGACATGTTCATCACACTGTTGGAGTTATGGTTTGGGGTGCTATAGCTTATGGTTCCAGGTCACCTTTAATCTTCATCAGAAGTAACATGAACGCGCAGCGTTATATCCACGAAGTTCTAGAACCCCATCTTTTACCCTATCTTGACAGCCTGGCAGATCCAACTTTCCAACAAGATAATGCCCGACAACATGTTGCAAGAGTCACAATAGACTTCTTTCAACATAATGATGTCACATTGTTACCATGGCCACCAAGATCTCCCGACTTATCCCCAATTGAGCACGTGTGGGATATGATGGGTAGGAGATTGCTCAATTTGCAACGTCCTCCTCAGACTCTAGAAGCACTTCGAGAGGAGTTGGTGGTTGCCTGGAATGAGATACCACAGGAGGACAATGACCACCTGATCAGAAGCATGCCTAGCACATCAGGGTGCATCCACACATTATTAAAGGTCAAACTGCTTTAAAGCAGTGCAATCATTTTGAAATTTTTATCATTTACTTATTATGCTTCATTAAGTACTTATACAAAATTTTATTAAAATAAAACCATTTAAGCTGGGTGTTCGGATTTATATGTCACTTAGTATAATTAGTTGTTTCTTGGATCACAAGTTTAAATTCCTAATTTGGCAAATTTTTATTTCCCATCTGTAATAAGAATACGGTACAACAATGCGTGTAATTCTTGAAATTTTATTAGCATCTTCTTAATTCTGGAGTATCGTAAGGTTTTATCATAGGCCATTACTAATGTTTATTTTATTTCAGACAATGAAGACGACGATGTCCTATTTTATGTTTCTTCGTACAATAGAATCAATTCAATAAATCACAGAGTTATTTAATATTTTCATGTAAGCTAATAAAATTTTATTCTTCATCCGCATTTTCGTTCTTCTCATCTTTATCTTCTTTGCTTTTGTTTTTTTCAACTTCTTGTAAAGGTACCTAAAAATGATTAAAGCTATTACGTACTCGCATCTAGTATCTACAAAAATTGTTAGCTTATCTACCATCATATAGCTTCAATTTCTGATGCGAAATCAAGTAAAATACGAGGGATGTCTTTAAAGTTTTGCATACAGAAACATAGTAGGCCGCGCGGATCAAACGTCACTACTGAATCTTTAGTAAACTTAAATTCAAAGTTTCACAACAATACGTGCAGTATTCTCACTACAGTGAATTTTTAAGTGTGAATTTTCGCGCCGTAATTTATTACAACTTTCAAAGACAATTATCACAACAAGAATGCCTTGTTGAGTTACTGTCTGTTTTCGGCAACGAAGCGCCACATCAGTCGACAATTTCCCGTTGGTATGGAGAATTCAAATGTGGAAGGGTGAGTCTTAGCGACGATTCCAGGGTGGGTGCACCCAGGAAAACGTCGATGCTGTGCGCAAACTTATCATTGAAGATAGACATGTGACATATCGCGAGATTGAGGCGTCCTTGAAGATCTCTTCAAAAAATTTTACATGAAGAATTAGGAGTAAGAAAATTAGTTTCTCGTTGGATACCCCACCTGTTGACTGAAGAGCAGAAAGCGGCCAGGGTTAATTGATGTCAAAAAAACGCTTGATCGTTTCAATTCCGGAAACTCAAAAAATGTGTACAGCATTGTTAGTGGTGATGAATCGTGGATTTACTGTTATGAACCAGAAAATAAACGACAGTCGACTGTTTGGGTGTACCAAGATGAAGAAAAGCCAACAAAAGTCATCCGTTCTCGAAGAGTTTCGGAAAAGATGGTCGCGACATTTGTGTCAAAAGCGGGTCGTATTGCATCAATTCCTAGCGTGTTTTTTTATTTCCATATGCAAAACTTAAAAGGCATCCCTCGAACCGTAGTAAGAGTGAGATCCCAGAAAAAAGCGAAAATCATGCAATAAACACATAAGAAATCCCTCGTAATTGTTGATTTATCAAGGAAAAAACGTGTACATACCTCGTCCGTAGTGGTAGCTGTAACATCGCTATATGAAGAAGCAGGTGTTTCTTTCCCGTACATCGGATTTTCAAAATTTTCCGGCAAATGTATCGACGATTCGCTTGGATGCCTCTCATAATGCAAACCTACGTTGTCTCTGCTGAATGTCGCAAACACGTTGCTCAAAGGTCTACCATTTATTATCCTATAATGATTTTATTCACATTCATTCGTCTTATTGAACAGTGGATTGGAATAAGAAGAATCTACAGTATATTCAGATAAGAGATAGACCGGATGTAAACAAAAGCTTCGGGTGATTTTCACGCTAACGCCGCCGTCTCGACGTAAAACAGGAGCCCTCATTGGTCAATTCGCAATTAAATGCCTATGCCGAGCGGCAGAGCAGTCGTATCAAGGCAGAGTCACATTCAGGTTCAGACGTGTTACGTATGTCGTGTGCATCATTGCAATTTGATATTTCTTTGGACGTTTTCGTTTGTTATCTTATTAAGTTGTTGAGTTTGTCGTTGTTATTGTTATACCTTGTTATTGATTGTTATTGTTATCAACTGCTTGCGCAAAATGCCCAGTAGTACAGATACTGCCGATGAAGTTGTAAACTCCTGTAGTCCACCTAGGAAACGCTCTAAAAAAGACACCTGAGTGCAGAAATGAAAGAGGTCATTTTGAATATATATAAGATCGAGCGCGAGGAGAACGAGGCATCACCATCAAAGAAATTGTTGTGAAGGTTTCTCACAAAGTTGGGGTGTGTCGCGCATCAGTGTTTAATGTGTTAAGGCAATACAAAAAAAATCACACCTTTTCTGAGCCAATGACCAGTAAACATCGCAAAAGTATTGTTAAATCATTGGATGAAGCTGATAAGCATGCGATTAGGAGGAAAGTGCACGAATTCTTCTTTAGGAATGAAATACCTACTATAGATAAAGTACTGCAGGAGGTAAATGGAGATACAACGTTACCAAATTTCAAACGATCAACTTTCCATGCGTTACTGAAGCATTTAAATTTCAAATGGAAAAAAACGGGGTCGTAATAGTTTACTACTGGATAGAGAAGAAATTGTGCTATGGAGGAGGGATTATTTAACAAAAATTGGGAAATATAGAAATCAAAACAGGAAGATTTATTACCTTGATGAAACATGGGTAAACGCAGGACACACTACAAGTAAAGTATGGGTTGATGATTCTGTAACTTCATCCAGGAGAGCCTTTCTAGATGGACTGTCCACCGGATTAAAAAATCCAGCAGGTAAATACGAGTAATAGACGACAATCGGATGTTTTTCAAACCTTGGGGACAAGGTTCTAAACATTAATTCCAGGGGGCAGATAAAACATATTACAAGTAACAAAACTTTTATAACTTTCGATAAAATGCGTGGATGTTTTATTGTCATTTTCATTTGTTAGAACTTTTTTAACCAAACATCAGACGGCATCCGAAGCTGGAAATCGAAGCGAACATTTTGAAACCCTTACGTATATTTACATCATTATATATTTCTTACCCCACCCCCACATGATCCTATATCCATCACCAATCGTATACACATCGAATTGTGCTAATTTACTACAAAGTTACGCAAAGCAGCATCTACTATCTAAAATATGTACTGCGTGACTCTTAATACGTCCCTGCCGAATGTTACAGCGTTCGATGATCACGTGGTCTTGTTTATGTCCGGTCTATCTCTTATCTGAATATACTGTAGGTATCTGAGGTAAAAGTGGAAAAATAATGCTCCTGAAAATTTTGTGCAACAAAAATATTCTAGTCAAACTTGTTTATTGTTATACAGAGGAATTTCTAATAAATTTGTTATTTACGGGAATAAAACATGATGTAAAATGGCAATTTGAAATACACAAGGAAAAGTCATATTTTTGGTCGAGGAATTCCTAATACTTTTGTATAAATAACAATAAAGTAGTTATCAGTATTTGGATATTCTAGTTTATCTTACCGACTTCATCAAAAGTCTATACTTTCTTTGTAGGTAAGTGTTGATTTTTCAATACGGACTGTCCTGAAAAAGACGTCAAAATGACAGCCTTGTTGTCGTCGATAAATACGTAATTTTTTTAGTCAATGACGTTTCCAAAGAACCGAATAATGACGTCATTTTGACGTCATCATGTTCATTCAGAAGCAGCCTCTATGCTTTTTTGTTGGCATCTTTAACCCGCAATAAATTGTTTGATTTACTTGATACCTCAAACAGCTGGGCTCAGAGATGCAGGTTCTCTTGTGAGAGCGAGCAATGCAAGTAGCTTAACTCGAGTGTTTCAGAGAAATTCGCATCAATTTTTTTTTTATATTACAGCTTTAAATTACCTCCAATACCCAGTTATATCCTACCTGTTTCGTAGAGTGTTTGCAGAAAAATCCGAGTAGTACATATAAACAAGTCCTCCTATTAGTACAATTACAAGGCAAAGGGAGCCCAAAGTTATACCTATTGCTTCTTGTAACGCTCTGCCTTTCACAAAGAAGGGCCCAGATTTTTGAATCGATATCACCACTTCTTCACCGAGCACTGTAACCAAATGGGAATCGATAAAATTGAAAAAAACGGAGAAGAAAAATTACGAACGAAGAAATTATAAAGCTATAGGCAACACTGAAATAAGTACAGGTATAAGATAAACAACCTGTAAACATTCCATATAGGTACGCACTTTTGGCCAATTTATGATGAAATGCGTTAGCCTCATCCAAACTGGAACCGGTAAAATCTTTTTCGGTGAACACCACCTGTTGATACTCCTCAAAGCCTACGCGTACTTCACTTGCATGCACGTCAGAATATGATGAATGCGCTTTCAAGATCTTTTTTATGTCGTCCAGCGGTACATCTGGCTTTAATAAAATATGTGCTCCTGGAAAATAGAAACCATGTCTAAAAAAAAAGGCGTGGAAATAATGGCGACTATGTAGAAAAATTGCTTTTTCGAATAACAAATTCGTTGTTTCTGAAAAAAATGTGGGAACCATATTTTTGGGACAACCCTCGTATGCGAAATTAATTAAAATAGACTGTCACAATATTGAAATGCCGCAGAACCGATTTGAAGGTAAGAAATGAGTCACTACGCACTTCTCGTACTGGTCTTTGCGACAAAATGATGTGTGAAGTCGCGTTTTTGATCAAATATATACGCAAGGTTTTTGTAAAAAAACTTTAAAACGTGACAGAACTGTAATGCAAAGTTTCCATCAAAACTTGAACGATACTACTAAAAATCAGAATCTAGGAATTTCATACCGGCCACACTGGGTCCTCCCTTTAACTCGAGAACACCGACGTAATCGCCTTGAGTGGTGCAGACAACGGTCACTCTGGGATCAGGAATGGAACAGTATTGCCTTTAGTGACGAGTCTCGATTTTGTTAAGGCATGCACGATGGTCGTGCCAGGGTTAGAAGACGACGTGGTGAAAGGAGGAATCGACAGTTCTTTGTTGAAAGACATGTTCATCACACTGTTGGAGTTATGGTTTGGGGTGCTATAGCTTATGGTTCCAGGTCACCTTTAATCTTCATCGGAGGTAACATGAACGCGCAGCGTTATATCCACGAAGTTCTAGAACCCCATCTTTTACCCTATCTTGACACCCTGGCAGACCCAACTTTCCAACAAGATAATGCCCGACCACATGTTGCAAGAGTCACAATAGACTTCTTTCAACATAATGATGTCACATTGTTTCCATGGCCACCAAGATCTCCCGACTTATCCCCAATTGAGCACGTGTGGGATATGATGGGTAGGAGATTGCTCAATTTGCAACGTCCTCCTCAGACTCTAGAAGCACTTCGAGAGGAGTTGGTGGTTGCCTGGAATGAGATACCACAGGAGGACATTGACTACCTGATCAGAAGCATGCCTAGGCGCGTTGGAGAATGCGTAGCACATCAGGGTGCATCCACACATTATTAAAGGTCAAAGGGCTTTAAAGCAGTGCAATCATTTTGAAATATTTATCATTTACTTATTATGCTTCATTAAGTACTTATACAAAATTTTATTAAAATAAAACCATTTAAACTGGGTGTTCGGATTTATATGTCACTTAGTATTTCAAAAAACTAGGTATATTTTTCTTTTTTATATTAGAGGTAATACAATAACACATAGATCTCCATCCTTCCATAAACCGTAATTATAATTTTCTTATTTATTTCATTCCGAATAACCGCGCATTCTTAACTGCTACATTGGAAAAAGTATCAAATATATTGAAATATCCCCAAGTGGTGCACAATTGCGCTGTCGCACTGTTCGTCGGTCGTTGCGCGACGGCTGGCGAGCTTCTCGCATTGCACAAAATCCAGCCGTTCGGTCGCCGTTTCAGCTAAGCAGGTTTCTCGGGCGCTACACAACTATAGTGTATTTTTCACCCAAGATAGAATGGATGCGTGATTGCCAAAAGCAAGGAAGGCGTACAGGGCCGCATTCAGGGCTACATCCGAATGATGGACTACCACCAACGTGTCGTAAAACAAAGTTGACAGTATTTAACAGAAACAGAAACTTAACAAATTACTCAAATACACTTAACAACAACAACAGCAACAACCAAGCAAGGTGAATACGAAAACACGAGCACGCAGTGATACACGCGACGGACGGTGGCCTGAGTGCAACTCTGCCTGCCCTGCCCCTGCCCCGCGCATTATTCCGCCAGGCGACCGCTTGAAATTTAATGGCGAATTGACCAATAAGAGGCGTTGTCCCCACCTGTTACCGAGAGATCACGCGCTAACTGTTATTATTTTCATCTCATCTTGAATTTGGATTCAGTTTAGGCGTAATCTGGTTAGCCATGCTTTGATATGATGTGTAGATGTTTCCGAAATAATTTCAACGCCGTGTTTGGTGTAGTGATTAGATGGTCGTGTTTGTATTCGACTGTCCCGCGTTCCATCTTGAGAAGGAGCACGTTTTTTTCTGCTCTTTTTGCGTTTGTTTAGATAGATACCGCATAAAAAGCATTATCTAGGAGGTGCAAAACAAAATTGAGAACTCATTCCCAGACAAATTGTAGGTTGGAACCTGTACGCGGTAAATTATTGTTGCATACTTAGTTTCAAAGACCTACTGTTATCAAGAAGCTGCTGATCTCAGTAGTACTATGTTACGAATAATAAGACACACATATTTTCTGTACATCTGCCATCGAAACAAATATGATACATTAGCTTTTTAGAGTTTGATATGCAGACGTCTAAGATTCATTGTGCCTAAGTAATATAGATTTATTAAGCGTTTTATAACATACCACATATTTTCGTACAAAATCCAAGTGGTTGAACTGGATCTAGACATTTGTAGTCTTCAAGTTCTTCTACATGTTGACATACTATGTAACTGGGAATGCCGTAGCAACGTTTAGTGGAATCATCCGAACTTTCGCTGATTATGATCGGGGGCGGATCGTAGAATATCTCTGAAATTAAATTGAGGTTAATATTGTGCTATATGGGTAATGATCTATTGAAATGAGTTTAACTATCTATATTTATCAAAATTGTTTAATTAGTTTATTAGATTAGGTTCTAATTTCAATGAATTATTTTATTTAGATTTGAAACGATATTTCGATAATATTCCGAATTTGAAAGAGCAAGGTGCAATTTACTGTATGTTACATATTACAACTGTGCTCTGACAAATCTAAAATATCAAAAAAATTTCAAAACTTTCTATTGATATTTAATGTTTTCGAATCAAAATAAATCTTCCGAGTTTTATACATCAATAATTATTAACATACAGAATACACGAATAAACATCGAATTTCGTCGCGGATAACAGTAAAAACTGAATGTGTGACGATCGCCCTACCATCAGTACAGTGGACCCCAGATAATCCGGCCGCTGTCTAATCCGGCGCCTCCTGTAATCCGACATGTCTTTGAATATGTATTACATACATACGTATTTGACAATCCTCGCTAATGTTCGAGGCGTAAGCATTGTTTTACTTAGTTTGAATTTTACTACTGGTGATAGCGGTACGGCCTAGCGTGCGTTCATTGTTTACTATTTATTCATTGTGTATTAAGTATAGTGCCTAGTAATGTCATCACAAACTCAGAAGCGAAAGCACAAAACATTGACAATTAAAGAAAAATGTGATATTTTAGACCGCTTAAATCGCAATGAAACTTTCAGTAGTTTAGCAAGTGAATACGGCGTAGGCCGATCTACAATTTAGGACGTTAAAAAAAAACACGAGAAGATCAAGAAGTTCGTGGCGACTACTGACTGCGGGCCAGGCGAGAGACAGACACTCAAGAAAGCTGAACATCCAGAAGTGGAAGAAGCTTTGTACATGCGGTTTCTTCAGGAAAGAAATAGGCATGCACCAATTTCAGGGCCTATGTTGGCCATGAAAGCTAAGCTTTTTATAAAGAAATAACAAACAAAGATGATTTGGTGGCCAGCAAAGGATGGCTAGAACGTTTTAAAAGTCGTCATGGCATACGTTTAATGACTATTACAGGAGAGAAACTTCCTAACGATGCCACCTGCATAGAACCCTTTAAATTAAGGTTTTTGGCAAAAGGTGAACGATTTAAAACTTGTCCCGTCACAGGTGTACAATGCAGACGAATGAGGGCTTTTTTGGTGTGTGATGCCTAACAAAACTTTCGTTTCTTGCAAGGAAAAATCCGTACCTGGACGAAAAGTAAGTAAAGAGCGTGTAACTATACTACCATGTGCTAACACTGCGGGCACACACGCGCTTAAGATGATGGTCATTGGGAAATCTAATAAACCACGGGCATTCAAAAACATTGATTTACCTGTACACTATTACCGACAAAAAAGTGCATGGATGACAAAAGACCTTTTCAAAAAGTGGTTTGATGAATGCTTCGCACCTGAAGTTAGAAAATGGTTAAAAGATCATAATTTTCCTCAACAAGCGTTGTTAGTTCGTGATAACGCTTCCCGGTCATCCGTCTGAAGAAGAACTAACAACTGAGGATAAATGCATCACTGCGATGTTTCTTCCGCCAAATTGCACTGCACTGATTCAACCAATGGACCAGAATATCATTCAGTTTGTCAAGCAAGACTATAAGAAAAACCTGCTTCTGAGCGCCGTATCAAAAGACCAACCAATAGAAAAAACTTTAAAAGAATTTAATATGAAAGACTTGGTTTTTGCTCTTTGTCAGTCGTGGAATGCGTTACCGTCATCAACTATTAAATCGTCTTGGAAAAAGTTATGGCCAGATATAGTCACCACTCCTAGCAACGTTCCACAAATCAGTGTTACTTCGGAAGTTATGGAACAAGTCGCTACTGAAACACAGATAAGTTCGGAAGATTTGGAAATCTGGTGCCATGGAATGGATAAAGAGAATAATGTTTTTCATGAAATGTCTGACGAAGAGATTATAAAAGAGGTTTCTACTTAAACAACAAACAATCAGGAAAATAACGACGACGTGATTGCAACTGCTCCACAAGTCACAGCACAAGACGCAATTCTCGCCTTTGAGCTAGGTTTACAATGGGCTGAACAGAATGGTACATCCTACAACGAACTTTTACTTTTGAAAAGAGTGAGGGACAAAGCTCTGATCTCGCGTTATAACAACCTTAAACAAAAAAAATTGATGAATATGTCCAAGCTTCATAATTTGATAAATTCATTAATGATTTTGATTAATAATTCTTGATTATTTTGGTACATATGTATGTGCATTTATGCTTAATTTTATAATAAAACGTAAGCTCTCTATTGTTATTTAATTTACTAAATTCGACATACATAAACTATGTATGATTTGTACTTCAAAGTACATACATATACATAACATATATAATCTTATGGATATGTCGGATTACAAGGTACTCTTCGATAGTTCAACACTGCCCTGCATAATGTTTGTCGGATTACCGGAGGTCCACTGTATTTATTAATGGATCGATCAATAATGTATGCCATTAAAAATAGTTTTAACTAATATTCTTTGACCTATTTCGAGAACAATAGATCATTTCGGTACATTTTAACACAGATGTGCCGAAAAAAGTACCTTTCATGATTCCCTGTTGTCCATAGAGATTCCAATCATCGGTTATCCAATGTTCTACTCCCCATTTGAACCCAGTTAAAGGCAAAGTACGATGGTTGTATTGGGAAAACGTGATACTACCAGAATATTCTGCTAAAGGGAACACGACTTTGTCCCTGCAAGGTACTCTTTCTAAATGGGGTACAGCGATGTTGTTCTTTAACAGAGGGTTCTCCCAGTTGCTGGGATCGTACCAATCGTATGATTGTATTTCCTTCAATTTCACACCTGAAAATTATGTCGAAAGTGAATTTCAAAACTAATTTTAGACCTCTGTGGATCTGCCTAGATACTATGATAGATTCGTGTATTCTAAAAAAATCAATGTGCTAGTGATAATATTGCATGTGTTTATCAAACATTCGCGGATTTTTAGATGGAATTTAAACACCCAAATTTTGTCATTTTTTAAGTGTAAGAGGAATTATGCAATGATAAATTCTTAACTTATCAATACTCACAGTTCATGACACTCGCTGAACGTTCACTTAACACGATGTCCTCCTGGTCTCGGTGTAAAAATATTTGTCCAGTTATTGGCAAAACAATTTCCTTGGCGTCGAAAATATCCAACCAGATTACACTGTCCACTTCTTCGGGAAAAACTAAACCGTCACACTTTTCCTGTATCTTTCCATCTACCCAATTTTCTCGTTCTCGTATGTCTGTGTCTCGTAACCAAATTTTTGTTGCGCCGTCCGACAGTAATACTAGAAATAGTGATAAACTTGATATTTATTGCAATTAGGATTAGCTGAACACCAAGTAGAATCAAACGGTCAGTTATAAGGCCCCCGCGTTCCGTAAAATACTCGTAAAAAAATCGCCGTTGAAAATTCGAGGTTGAAAATAGGGTGCGCTGAATCTACAAACCAAACCAAATCCAGGATTAATAGTACACAACAAATATTCTGTATTTATTACACATATCAACACATAAGTACAATGCTATTCAACTTTGAAGGTCAATCTTCCGATTCTTCCTTCCCTTGCCTTTCGTATATCCTCCGATCTTCATCATCCTTTTCTTGTGCACCTTCAGATGCTTCGCCAGATGGTCGGATCTCGTGAAAGCCTTCTCGCATAGATCGCATTTGTAAGGCTTTACCCCCGAATGCGATCTTTTATGCCTCGCTAGTTCGTCTGACCTTGAAAACCTCCACGAACAATTCTTCCAATTGCAGACGAACGGCTTCTCGCCGCTGTGCCTTTTCAAGTGAGCCTTCAGATGCGAAGGCTTCGCGTAGATTTTCTTGCAGTTCGCCGAGGGACAAACGAAGAATTTTTCGGTCGGTTTCTCGTATTGCTTCGATCTGGACGTGATCGGTTCCTGGGACGCTTGGCAGGTGTTCTCGTAGAGAAGGTTTCTCCGTCTTAGGTAATTTTCGTCGTACGTATGCGGAAATACGACTTGGATTGGCTCTGCGCTCACTAAATCCTCGTCCATGAGGAAGTCTATCGAATCCAGAGGTAGATCCAGGTTGAAATCGTTGTCCAAAATGCAGTCCAACGTATCGTTTTGGTAGGAATGTAGGTCCAGCTCGACGCCCAATACTGACATGGTGCTGTTATTGTTATCATCGTTATTATCGTATGATTTTTGATGTACAGCCGAATCACTTAAAATGCCTTTGATGATGTTGTCGAGGAATTTGTCATCTCCGTTGATGGTGGGATTTGAAGAGGTCGTTTCGTAAGAGTTGCAGCTTGAGTCGATTTCGTCGTACGGAGAGAAATCGAGGAACAATGACAGGTCGGACGTATCCGACATCTCGAGGTCGAGTGTTTCCATCTTCAAACGTCTGGAATTAAAGAAAAATAGGGAGTTAGACAAATAAAGATATTGTAGAAACATTAAGGATGCACCGAGTAACACTTTTAGGGGGATATTTACTGATATTTAGATTACATTTGCATCTTTGAAAGGTCGCTTTTATCTCATAATTGAGTTCGGTACCTATTGTATTAACGGTATTTTGGAAAGTTTTGATTTTTCAGTAATCGAGAGTCTCGCAACAGTTCCCAACAGGGCCGGCTGGCCCTTAAGTTCTGCAGAGCTGCATAACTGCCAAAACGTTTGTCTTAACGGAAAAAATCAGTAGTAATTTGATCATTGTTTATTTTCCAAGTTATCACACAAATAGAAACAATACCGGCCACGCTGCCCCCGCAAGACACGGCGTCCAGTCTGTTTTGTATTGAGAAAGCATTATAATCGACCAACTGTGTACTTGTCATTTTCGTCGCGACGGCAGCGTAACATTATTCATGGGCCACTTGAAAAGAGTCTGTGCACTACTTCGACACAAGCCGCACGCGCTTGCTTTTGTCTCTCTCTACAAAATCAAATGCGCGATTTAAGCATAAGCATGTGCTGCACGTTATACAGATCCGTACCGATCTAATGCGAAGTACGATATCTAATTGGTCGGTCGGTGCTCGGTATAAAATTTTGCGGAGCATTTGAATTGGCGCTACGGGGACACGAAACCGAGAGCTCCAAAACCCGGGAATATTTCGTGGACTGATTAACTTTTCTGTTGAGCTTGATACAACCTTAAGCGAACACATAAAAAAATGCTTCAATATTTAAAGGAACTTCGAAAGAAATACAAAACTACGTACTGGATTGTATTCTTGAAGTTTGTCATGAAGAAATAATAAAACAGATTAACAGAGCCTCGTATTTGGCGATCATAGCAGATGAAACAACGGACATTTCGGGGAAAACCCAACTGGTAACAAGTTTCAGATACGTATTTAACGACGAACCAGTAGAACGTTTTTAGAATTATATGAATCCCGAAAAATGTGACGCTGGTACTCTCACAAGACATATTTTGAGCGTCGTAGATCCATTAATAGGAAATTTCCCTAACAAACTGATTTCACAAAGCTATGATGGAGCCGCGGTAAGCAGGGACATAATGCTGGAGTACAGGCAAAAATTAAACAAAGATATCCACTATGTGCATTGCTATGCGCATCAGTTAAACCTCATTATGTCCCAAGATGCTTCCGCAAATGCTCAAGTTCGGGTGTTCTTTGGGGATTTTAAAGATATTAGAAATTATTGTTACAACTCCTATGTCAACATCAGAGGCTGAGCGAAATTTCTCAACATTGAAAAGAATCAAGACTTTTCTTCGTAATACTATGAAACAGGATCGCCTTACAGCGTTGTCGATGCTGTCCATTGAAAAGGAATTTATTTCGACCATGGAAAATTTCAACGGGAAGGTGATCGACAAATTTGCTGCCAAGAAGGAGCGCAGGATCGAACTGACATATAAAAAAAAGGTAAGTTCGGATTTGCAGAACACCTGTTTTATTTTGCCACGAGCCGCCACTGGTTTTTTTTCAAATGTATACCCTCTAATTTTGCACCCAAGTCTAAAGAAGAACGTTACAACGTATGAATGAATGAAGAGCAACTTATATTGGATAACTCTTCAGGCAGCGAGCAAGCTCAGGCAGCTTGGGATGCTATTATTGACTGGAATCTCGAAGATAAAGTTCACATTCTCCGTTGTGACACTATGCCGCAAATACGGATCGCATTAACGGTGCCTGGGTGCTTTTCAAACAGAAACTTGATGTTAAAAAGCGTGTTTGAATCACACATCGACCAAGTGACTACAAACCCTGACATGCCGATGTTTAAAAAGATTCGTGAGAGCCAGAAAAGTGTGAATTGACCTAAGTTGCCAGAGTCGATTATCAATAATTAATAGAACTTTCAAGAATATTCCTTGGCGAGGATGCAGAGAAAAAATGTAAGATTCGACCACTAGGCGCCATGCATCATTGATGCATGGATGGCCAGAGCAATCTATTCATTAAAAGTAGCTCAAACTTTCTAATAAGGATAAGGCAGCTCTGTAGGCTGGGACATCTTAATCTATAATTATATTATAACGTTTTTGAAGCCTGATTATTTTTCAGGTAGGTAAATAAGGGTTGTTACTTGACTATAATGTTATTCACAACATTTCTCTTACCTGCATAAGTTAGTTCAAGCAATTATTGATATCAACTTTCAATTAATCGTTGAATATATCGCACAATTTCAATTTTACACTTTTTGTTAAAAACACGCTTGGGTGCCGAGAAAATATTTTACCGGTTCTGTCTCGACAATATTCGAAATACATACAAAAACGCAATTCATAAAGTGTTACAATCTATATAAATAATCAGGCTTGCCTCGATTTTTCTGATATTCCATAGAACTATTTTGATTTTCCTTACCTATATTCATCACAAACACTCCGACAAGAACAATTCCAAAGTCGAACATCTTCACTAACAAAACTTCCTGGCTACAGTACAAGTTGCATCACTATACTGGATTAATGTTCAGATACTAGAAGTATTTCCGCGTAACTAACGAGACATTTTACTTATGGGAAATCCGATCGCTGTGTTGAGTGGGCGTATTTGAAAATTGTCCCCAGAGGAAATCTGGACTGGCGGTGACGCTGGTACGAAGTACTTTGCTTCAATTGAAGCTTTTTGATTTTTTGTGTGCGTGTTATTGGCGTAGGAACGCTTCGTGCATGATGCCTTAATGGTACTACAATACATCTGGATTATATGCTAGTACAGTTATATTAGACATCAGATCTTATTTTGGAAACGAAAACCTAAACGGAATCGGATATACTAAAAGAAGATAGGATGACTTTTGTTATTACTGGTTTTAAACTGCACCAGACTTAGCATAAAGTGGCTGCGAAAGTTTTTTCAATGGGATGTAGCGTTTACCGTGGGCCGTTGGACATTCTGTGGCTAAATTAGCAACAATTTTTACTCAATTTTCCTCATCTACGTCATCGTCAAACAGAGATAAGACAGAAATCTCATCTGCAAAATACCATAAATGTTGACAGAACTTTTGTGAAAAATCTATTAATTCTCGATAGTTGTCTCTAGCGACTTCATGTCGAGCTTTGGTTTCTTTATTGCTGCCTGGTGATGCGATAATGACGGTGTCCTACCAGTCTGTACCAGTTGTACAACAAAACCCAATATAGGGAGAGCGAAATAAGGGATGTGCATACATAATTGTACATATTAAATGTATGATATGTTCAGTACTTAGGCTACAAGGATATTAAGATGAATTTGGAGAGATGTTGTTACTGGCCTATATGTCGAGTGATAAGAACGGGATGTTCCACAGGAAAACGTCGCGTCTTATCTTCAGACAAAATTTCGCAGATGAAATAAATACTTTCTGGATGTCAAGTTCAAAATGGATAACGTTGCTTTGCTTACCACTGGTTATCTATCTCTCAATGTTACTGCATTGTCTTGGATCTTTGCACAAGTAACAAAATGATCAGAATAATTAATCAATACATCAAAAAATATAAGAATTTTTAACTATTTTTCGTACTATTGGATTGTCAAAGTATGCCTCTATTGTCACGAGATAATCTCAGCAACCACTGCATTGATTTTTATGTTTCGGGAGCTTTAGAATATGCATAGCATAGCAAGTTATTACCTGTTATATTAAATTTTATTACTTAAAAAAAGTTTCCCGTTGGCGGTAGAGCTACAAACTTCATTTTTCTATGTTTTGGTTTAAGGATATTTACCTTTCTATTACAAAATTTCAAGGAGGAGAAACATTCTTATGTTTGTCAACTTTTTAATTTTAAAAATGCCTACTCTGTTCGCTCATTTGTGTAGACATTTCAAGACATTGGCTAAGAAATTGTATCTTATTTAAAAATGGTCAGTAAATGTGCAATGTAACCAATTTAATTCGTAAACCTTTCCATTTCCACATAATAAAAATGGTACGCCTCTCGTACTGGACGTGCAATACTGGTTGCCTATATAACACTGTGACGTATTTCCCCCTACGTAGCACGCTTGATTGTGTCAAATTTTTTCAGTCAAAAGTCAAAAGTTAATTGATGTGGGTGGTAGGTGGAAACAAGAATTATCAAATTTATCTTTAAATATTCAAGTGACTAATTAGAGATACAAGATTTTTTGGTAGTTTATAGTAAAATTTGTGAAAAGGGAAGCGTGCAATTGTGAGGAGTGCCTTTTCGTTTCCGAACGGAAGCAGCTGGTTGTATAAATTATATATTAACAATGCTGTAAATATTTAACCAGGTAATTTTGCGATATTCTGTGCTACATTACGTAGATTGCATGCTAGTCGCGTATTATCAAGTATAATTACAGTTCAGCGTTCTTCGTTAGTGGATTCGGACAATTTTAGATGTTTATTTACGTTGTTTCTATTTTTGTTTACCTGTTTCTGAAAGCAGGTCGAGAAATGTACGATGGTATGTAGGTTTATCTGCCCACATTCAGCTTGTACCTGTCTTTACAATTCCAAATTTATTCAAATTTTATTCACTGTGTTGCCTGTAGTGTACTCTTGTATCCATTTCTGTTAAAATGCATGTTTTTCTCGAATGGGGTTTATCATGCTGGTGAAACATTTTATCCGCATTTATTTAAAACCCTATCTACATAGCAAACAATACTCCTACATAGTTATTACATATGTATGGTGATTCTAATTTCATAATAATAAACAGTATTTCTTATCTAAGTCACACCTTTTCCTCTGTAAATCATGATAACAATACTTGTATCTGCACATTATTAGATTTTCTTTATAACAATGTATTATTTTACCTTGATGAGTTTTATGTACACTTAAATGTTACAAAAAACAATAGAACTGATAGTACTTATTTTATAGCAAAACACAGTTTTCATGGACTATCCCATTAAAAGATTCTATTTCCTTATTTTTTTTTATCTATTGGAAGATATTTTAACAGTGTGGTTTCTTATAAAATGTATTGAACTTTTGGTACCTATATATTTTGTTGTGGTATGGAATTACTGATCTAGTTATAGCAAATGACTAAGTTGTAAGAGGAAATGATGATTTTCTCAATTACTCAAATCATCTCCCCTGACTGTGATTAAGTAAACCACAAAATGTTTGTTGTTTTTTTATAATATTTTTAAGGAAGGTCAAATGATATATTGACCAAAAAAAGATTTGCATAAATTACTTATTTGCCTTCCATTTTTCTTGAATGAATCTGTATTTATATAATAAAAATAATCCTCACTGGGACAAAATAGTAATACTGCTTACTGCTAAGCTTATAATTATTTGTATCGTGTTGCATTGTGATTTAATTCAACAATGCTTTCTGGCAGTTTGGCTGATAGCTAATGATGATATTATAGAACGACCTGGGAAGGATCTTTATATTATAGATCCGGGACTTAATTGTTTTCTGGGTAATAGATTTAGCATCTTTATAGATCATCTGGGCTTACTAATCTAAATCCAGCAATGGATCAATCTTCACTTTTATCTAAAGATCAGTATGATGGCCTGAATCCTAATGTTTACATTTGATGTTGCAATATGAGATTGGCTATCTTATCATTCATTCGTCAAATAACAAACAAATAAAATAATGGTATAATTGACATCAAATTGAAACCAAGGTTTAATCTGTGAAGGTATATGTAACAAAGTTCTATGAAAATGCATAATATTTGAGGAGCAGTCAGATACGGATCTGCCCTTATGCAAGGTTAATGTGTGACTTTGTAATTCAGGTGTCATCTATCTGAACTGATTAATTAAGCATGAAAATTAGCATCAATAATCTTTTAAATTGGCCTTAAAGGTCAGTTAAAGAAAGGAGGGACGGTGATATACATGTTGCATTTTGGCATTATGATCTGCTATGCTCCTAGGCATTAAGAACACTGAAAAAAATTGAGATATGCTTTTATGTGAAAAAGCAAAAATGGTGGCAAAATAGCTAAAAAAAATTATCCCATTAGATTCTTTTCACATTCACCTTCATAAGGGGTTACTAAATAACATTATGTGTGAAAAATAAAAAAGCGGGTTTCAAAGATGCCACTATTTTCGTCTTATTAAAAGCTTGTATTTAACTTGAACTTGAACCGGAATGTCCGGGTGGAGGGTGGGCTCGAGGGAACAACATCGAAGATAAAATTTGTTTTTCGAACATCTGCGGGATCAACAGCAACATTGATGCTGTTCATCACTACCTGCAATCCAATCGTCCCGCCGTGCTTTTCTTGGCGGAGACAAAAATCTCAGAGACTGCACCGATTAACCATCTCAACTTCCCAAACTACGAGGTGCACTCCAATCTGAGAAAGAACGGGGGAGTTGTGGCTTTTGTCCGCAGCAGTCTTTCCTGCTCCAGGGATCTTTCTTTGGAATCAGACCGGAAGGACATTCTGTGGCTTCGCCTCAACTCCAAAACATCACCCAAATTTATTTGCTGCCTTTATCGCTCTCCCTCGAACCATAACTGGGATGACCTACTTGAATACCTCGCCGTCCAGATCGACTTCCTGAACATCAATCACCCCGCTTCAGAGGTAGTTCTTCTCGGTGATTTCAATGCCCATAATGAGCTTTGGTTGGGCTCAAATAAGACCGATGCAGCAGGTCGTGCAGTCGAAGCGTTCGCTCTTACTCAAGGGCTGACCCAGCTGGTGACGAGCCCTACTTTTTTCCCCCGCGTCTCGTCACACGCCAGTAGCCTGCTGGATCTCTTTCTGACCACGCATCCTGCCCCTTACAGCACTGCCGTCCTGTCCCCCCTGGGTAACTCAGATCACGGTGTTGTGGAGGTTAGGTTTCGGTCAGAAGCCGCTGTGGCCGCAGAAACTCGCACAGGCCGCAAAACTTGGCATTACGGACATGCCGACTGGGAGGGGCTCAGAGACTTCTTCTCTAGCTTTCCTTGGAGAGATGTCTGTTTCACTGACGCGGATGCGTCGACTGTCTGTTCTTCAATAACCGAAATTATCCACGTCGGAATGGAGGAATACATCCCTCACACAGTGAAAGTTCCTAAACCAGGGTCCAACGGCTGGTTCAACAAATCGTGTGACACTGCTCGCCAGCAGAAGATCAAGGCCCACAGAACCTACTTACAAAACCCCACTGTAGAGAACAGACAAGCCGACGTCGAGTCCAGAAACAAATATAACGAAGCGGTTCGCAATGCCAAAACCCAGCATGATATAAAAGTTAGGCACAGGGTAATGTCACAGCGCAATGGCAGTCGGTCTTTCTGGACGCTGGCCAAGCAGATTGAAAAGAACTTCTCACACAGTAGCCTTCCACCACTTACGTGTCAGGATGGAACTATTGTATCCGACTCAAAGGCCAAGGCGGAAGTGCTAGCCAAGATCTTTGCTGCCAACTCCACCATGGACGTCCCCACCAACGCCCAAGTGCCGTCAATTCAAAGGGTTCCCCACACTATGCGGGAGGTAACATTCAGGCATAAGACCGTAAGACGAGTGCTCTTGTCGCTCGACATCAACAAAGCTTCTGGTCCGGACTTGATTCCTGCCATTGTACTGAAGAGATGTGCAGCTGAGCTTGCTCCAGTTCTTTCGCGTCTCTTCCAGATATCTTATGAATCCGGCACCTTCCCAGAAAACTGGAAATTTGCTCATGTACAGCCCATCCCAAAAAAAGGATCTAAAACCGACCCTTACAACTACAGGCCTATAGCTCTGCTTTCTGTTATAAGTAAAGTGATGGAGAGGTGCATAAATCGCGAGCTTCTGGACTACCTCGAACGTCACAGCTTGATTAGCGACAGGCAGTACGGTTTCCGGCACCAACGATCCACAGGGGACCTCCTAGCTTACGTCACGCAACTGTGGAGTACACTCATCCAGTCTCATGGTGAGACTCATGTCGTTGCTCTTGACATCACGAAAGCGTTCGATCAGCTGTGGCACGCTGCCCTCTTGAGCAAACTTCCATCCTACGGCCTCCCAGAAAAGCTTTGCAGATGGGTGGCTGACTTTATCTCTGGCCGCAAGATATCCGTCGTAATTGACGGATTCTCCTCTTCATCCCACAACGTCAACGCGGGTGTTCCCCAGGGATCGGTCTTGGCTCCAACACTGTTTCTCTTACATATCAACGACCTCATTTCCTGCACGATTAACCCAATCCACAGCTTCGCTGATGACAGCACTCTACATGCAGGAATTCAGAGTGACAAGCCGATCTCTGCCGCTGAGCTGGAAAAAAGAAGACTAGCCACGACTTCTTCTCTGACAAGAGACCTGGAGGCTATCACTGCTTGGGGACGCAACAATCTTGTACAGTTCAATGCTTCCAAAACACAGTACTGTACTTTGACGAACAAAAAGCGTCCTAGCGCTCATACAGTTTCGATGGACGGTCGAGTCCTACCAAAGAGCCATTCATTTCGGCTGGTCGGAGTCCAGATCACCGAGGACCTGATCTGGCACGAACACATCTCTTCAATAGCTGCAGCTGCTGGGAAAAAGCTAGGCTATTTGTTTAGGGCTAAGAAGTACTTTTCTCCGCATGACCTTCTCACTCTATACAAGGCCCAGATAAGGCCTAGCCTCGAGTATTGCTCACACATTTGTGGTGCTGCCGCCCCGACTACATTGTCCATCCTCGATGCTGTCCAGAGGAGGGCGGTCCGACTGATCGATGACTCTTCTCTAACAGACAGTCTCGGGACTCTTTCGCACCGGCGGGCCGTCGGCGATCTAGCTCTTTTCTATCGCTACACCAACGGGCTTTGCTCCTCAGAGCTCTCTTCCATGATGCCGCCGCGCGATGTGCCTGCCAGACAGACCCGCCTGACTTCGGCGTCCCATCCTAACCGTGTCAAACTTCGTACATCCAGAACTGGCCGATACGACCGCTCCTTTGTCCCGAGGGTGTCTAGATTGTGGAACAAACTACGGGAGGAAGCTTTTCCCAGTTCTACTAACCTTAGGCAGTTCAAAAATCGTATTAACAAAATTTCTTTGGGATCATCATAGCAGCCGCGGTGTTCCGGCATTTAGGCTTCTGCCTGCGCGGCTGTTTCGATATAAAAAAAAAAAAAAAAAAAAAAAAAAAAAAAAAAAAAAAAACTGTTCGTTAGCATGTTTGTGTGTGGAATTGAATTTTGAACGATGTGCCGCCATTTTGAATCCAATATGGCGGACGCTACAAAATAGTGATTCATCATAGAGACCTCTATGATATATGTATCAAACAAAAGGGTTTGATGAAAGAAACATAAGCAAAGTAACATCATTCTAAATTAAATATGCCAGCCGCAAAATGGCGATTTATAATTTCTATTATTACTATAGGCACACCTATAATTTGGCTATCAAATAAAAGGGCTTGATGAGGGAAACATAACAAGTAAAGTGACGTCATTCTGAATCTATAAATTTTCTATCAACCTCAAGTAATTCTGCTGAAATTTTGTACACATGTTTGGTTCGAGTTACAGTACAACATAAATTACTGCCGCCATTTTGAATCCAATATGGCGGCGACCGCAAAATGGCGTTGACAGGGACTTATAATAGAAGCACGATAAGTATAGTGACGTCACGCTTAATTCAATATGGCGGTGACCGCAAAATGACCATTTACATTTCTCACAGTCACCCTTACGACATTAGTATCAAATGAAAGGTCTTTTTGAAATAAACGCAGTAAGTAAAGTGACGTCATTCCAAATCCAATATGGCGACCGTACCATGATGGCGTTTATAATTACCATAGTCTCCATGTGAAAGGGCTTTCTGCGAGGAATATAACGAGCAACGTGACGTCATTGTAAATCCAAAATAGCGATTTGTAATTTCCACGGATATCACTATGATATGGGTACCTAATGAAAGGGCTTAATGACAGAAATACAATAAGCAAATGCCGCGCAATATAGAGTCATCACGACTTTATTAGGTGCGAAATTTAGCTTAGTGCTATTTTGCCAGTTAACCCCAAAAAAAGTACAAACAAAAAACAAAGCATTAAATATAAATTATAACACTTTTACAGTTTAAGGAATCAAATTTTACGTTGAAAAATTTTGTGAAACATCTCTGATTTAAATATGTTAAAGTTCCTTTCAGCATCACTTCTAAATAAATTCGTTGAAAAAATGGTGACTTGATTTTGACGATTGAACTGAAGACGTATATGTGGATTTTATACCATCATTTACCTCATATGTAGCAGTTTGGATATTAGACTTTGGAAATGATTATAAAACAGTCCAATATTTAACAGCAGCATGTATATCCGGTATACATAAAATGAATGTATAGATCCTTGCGGTGCTCCGGAAGGAATGAGACATTTTGAAGACGAAATCATATCAATGTTTACCATCTGAGATCGATTTTGTAAAAATGATGAATCATACAGAAGAATTAGAAAAACAAAAAACACATCAATCGAAGTTTTCTAATACAAATAAAGTTAGATAGCCCTATTAATAAAATATATAAAAATTAGTTATCTGACATCGTAAATACTAAAAAGTAAAAAATAGATAAATTTTTAACAACAAGCGTTTAGCTGTTAATTAGTTGAACTAAGAATTTAAAAATAATGATTTCAGATTGGAAGTATTAAACGATAATGAAGCTCATTCATCTCAAGTTTTCAAATAAAAGCTTGTACGTTCTGACAGCAGTATGGAAAAAGTTTAGATATCTCCAATCTGAAAAATTTTATTCATCTCTTTAGTTAGTAAATAAAAGCTTGTTTTAAAAATGTATTTTTTACTTTATTTATCTAAAGTTTGTTTTCCAGTGCCTCCGACTATTATGGAGCTTTGACGTCGTTCTCGCTGACCAAACCGTCACCATCTACGATGACGACATCGTCGGCCAATCGTCATCAGCAAAACCGTTTGAACCATGAAGATGACGCTGTATCAGAATGTTCGGTGGCTTCGACACTGCTCGAAGGCAGTTTGATATCGACGGCCCCCGACCGCCATGGGTTCTTGGGTGGGGCCCAGTACAGCCCGGAGCCAAGAAATCATGGGCCCCCGCCAGAAACGGTGCTGAAGCGGGAGCGGAAATGGTTGAAGATGCTCGCGCAGTGGAACTTTTATATGGAGAAGAACTACAGGAAGGTCAAGGACAGATGCAGGAAAGGTTGGTCTGCTTTTAAAATCTTCAAATATTCTTGGGGGTGTGCAAAGTTAGCAACCCAAGAATAAAGAATTGATATACAGTAATGGACAAAAGTATATATAGACAAATTAATATTGTGCTGTATTTCTTTTTTAACTTGTTTTATTAATACACCAACCTGTATAGACTTAGGAAATATTTGAGTACCTACAGTATATTCAGATAAGAGATAGACCGGATGTAAACAAAAGGTTCGGGTGATTTTTACGCTAACGCCGCCGTCTCGACGTAAAACAGGAGCCCTCATTGGTCAATTCGCAATTAAATGCCTATGCCGAGCGGCAGAGCAGTCGTATCAAGGCAGAGTCACATTCAGGTTCAGACGTGTTACGTATGTCGTGTGCATCATTGCAATTTGATATTTCTTTGGACGTTTTCGTTTGTTATCTTATTAAGTTGTTGAGTTTGTCGTTGTTATTGTTATACCTTGTTATTGATTGTTATTGTTATCAACTGCTTGCGCAATATGCCCAGTAGTACAGATACTGCCGATGAAGTTGTAAACTCCTGTAGTCCACCTAGGAAACGCTCTAAAAAAAGACACCTGAGTGCAGAAATGAAAGAGGTCATTTTGAATATATATAAGATCGAGCGCGAGGAGAACGAGGCATCAACCATCAAAGAAATTGTTGTGAAGGTTTCTCACAAAGTTGGGGTGTGTCGCGCATCAGTGTTTAATGTGTTAAGACAATACAAAAAAAATCACACCTTTTCTGAGCCAATGACCAGTAAACATCGCAAAAGTATTGTTAAATCATTGGATGAAGCTGATAAGCATGCGATTAGGAGGAAAGCGCATGAATTCTTCTTTAGGAATGAAATACCTACTATAGATAAAGTACTGCAGGAGATAAATAGAGATACAACGTTGCCAAATTTCAAACGATCAACTTTCCATGCGTTACTGAAGCATTTAAATTTCAAATGGAAAAAACGGGGTCGTAATAGTTTACTACTGGATAGAGAAGAAATTGTGCTATGGAGGAGGGATTATTTAACAAAAATTGGGAAATATAGAAATCAAAACAGGAAGATTTATTACCTTGATGAAACGTGGGTAAACGCAGGACACACTACAAGTAAAGTATGGGTTGATGATTCTGTAACTTCATCCAGGAGGGCCTTTCTAGATGGACTGTCCACCGGATTAAAAAATCCAGCAGGTAAAGACGAGTAATAGACAACAATCGGATGTTTTTCAAACCATGGGAACAAGGTTCTAAACATTAATTCCAGGGGGCAGATAAAACATATTACAAGTAACAAAACTTTTATAACTTTCGATAAAATGCGTGGATGTTTTATTGTCATTTTCGTTTGTTAGAACTTTTTTAAGCCATGTTTTTATGTGTTTTCGATATTTCAATAATTTTTTAATATAATCTTAAAATATGTCGAATATTATAAACTTACAAAAAGTTACCAAGTTTTATATTGTGTACCGTTCCTAATATTTCTAATCATTTTAATTCATACTTTATTAAGCTTTTATAAAGTTATAATTTGTTAATATTAATATTTGCGCGTATTTCAGGTTCCTGATCATTCATTTTTTAAAGGTTTATAACTTTAAATTAAATTGTGAAGCGCTGAGTAATCATACGACGTTCAATATTCTTTCTTTCAATATGACTAAATAATCCCAATTATAGCAATCTGATACTCATGTCTCAATGTTTTTTCGCTGAATGTGATGAAAACATTTGAAAAAGGTTCGCTTATTGAAATAAATCTACACCAGTTAGTACTTCGATTTCCAGGTAAAGGGAAAAGGCTCATTATCTGCCATATTGGCAGTGAGGATGGATTTGTTGTTGACGGTCTGTGGTGCTTTGAGTCTAAGAAAACTGGAGATTACCACGAGGAAATGAACGGCGAATCGTTTGAACAGTGGTTTTCAAAAATTTTACCGAACTTAGAGGAAAACGCAGTAATTGTGATGGATAATGCGCCTTATCATTCTCGAAGAATGGAGAAGGTCCCAACAACGGCTTCAAGGAAAGTTGATGTTCAAAATTGACTCCGCTCGAAAAATATCAACTTTGAAGAAGCAATGCTGAAAGTACAATTATTAAGAATTGTCAAGGATCACAAGGCGGAATATCAAAAATACGCCATTGACGAAATGGCAGCAAGTCAAAATAAAACTGTGCTCCGTTTACCTCCATACCATTGCGAGCTCAATCCCATTGAGCTCATATGGGCAGAGGTTAAAAATTATATAGCTAAGCACAATACAACTTTTAAATTTTGTGACCTCAAAGGACCTTTTAAAGAAGCACTAGAATTAATAACAGCGCAAAAATGGGAAAACTGTATTAAGCACGTGAAAGACAAAGTTGAAAAGAGAATGTGGGAACTGGACAATATTTTAGAGGAACAAGTCGAGCCATTCATTATTGACGTTGGTGCTTCAGGCAGTAGCGATGATGAAAGCTCATCAAGCTCATCTTTCCAATAAAAGATCATCGTTCATCAAATTCGGTAAGTTATAAGTAATTATAAAGCTACTGTATTTTTTAATTAATTATTGACATTTTTGAACCCATTTTGGCAAAACCTATTCAAGAATCTACTTTCTGACAATGTTCAACCATGCACATTTTTTTACGTTTTGAACGTTTTAATTTGGTTACATATTTACCTAGAAATCAAAAAGTATACTAATCAATATTCTAAAAGCAATTTTAAGAGATATACGATTTTTTTTAATTTAGGCTAATTTTGAGATTATATTCGACTGTATTTCACCAAACATCAGGCGGCATCCGAAGCTGGAAATCGAAGCGAAAATTTTGAAACCCTTATGTATATTTACATCATTATATATTTCTTACCCCACCCCCACATGATCCTATATCCATCACCAATCGTATACACATCGAATTGTGCTAATTTACTACAAAGTTACGCAAAGCAGCATCTACTATCTAAAATATGTACTGCGTGACTCTTAATACGTCCCTGCCGAATGTTACAGCGTTCGATGATCACGTGGTCTTGTTTATGTCCGGTCTATCTCTTATCTGAATATACTTTACTTGGCATTTTTTTTATACTCCAACTACCACGAAGGCCTAAGGCCTAAACACCCATTAGGTACCGTGGGGCTACGGTTTTATAGTTTGTTTTTTCCTGTGTGAAATTTACTTGGTCCTCAGTTATATTCAAATTCACACCACACAACAATGAAAACATAGAAACTAACGCAGATTCGAACAATAAACAATAATAGAGAGGACCAATTTCATTTTTTCATTTATTCATAGCCTTACATCATACGTTAACGTTGTTACTACGGAAAAGTTCACATGCGCCTGTTTGTATGCATCCCATAAATTATATCATAATAGTACTGCGTTGCTAGGCGATGCCTGATGGTATCATAAAATACTTTATTATTGTATCTCGCGGCACAACGACAAATAATCTGTTACTATGAGTGTAGAGAATTGTATGCAGTTATGAGAACATTTTTAAAGCCCTTATCACGGGAAGAAGTCGTTTTTAAGAAAATGCGCTTTTGGAAAAATGTGTATCCAGTTTTTTATCATAACATATCCTATTGTATTGACAGTCAATTTATATAAAACATAATAACATAGTAACTTCTGTATTGAAAGAAATAAACAGTGGCCAGAATCGTCAGCCTTCTAGCGGTCAAGCTGATATCCCTAACAGTTCCAACTGATAGCAGCTATGCGCTTTCCGTAGTCGTCGATTCTGGTTTGATTGACGGCGGTTTGCATTGTTGCAAGAAATGCTAGAAATAAATAATTGATCGAAATTTTACGTGATGAATTGTACATTCAAAAAAATAACCTGATATAATTGTATTAGTGTTGCTTATTATCGGAAACTTGCTGCATTGAAGGAAACCTTACGTACGGCGGTTTCATTTTTATAAATACAAAAACGATTAGGAGACTAATCGTTGCCAAATTTTGCTGATTGGCTAACAAGGTGGTACAATAATAAAGAAATTCCCACATATTTCACTTGCATGATTTGATAGATCGTGTTATTGAGTAATAGATGCGGAATTTATTTCCATCTATTTATTGCTTAATGTTTATATAAATTGGTTGTATGATAACCGCAGAAAGTGATTCAAGTCTATTACATTATTACATCTTATATGGAACATATGCAATAGTGAGTAATCGGAGGTTAGAGTGTTCCAGCCTACGAGGGCAAACAAATTTTTGTTTGAATTGAGATATGCATAAAGCAAAGTCATCGATATTTTTCTCTGAAATTAAAAAACGAAGAATAACTACTATCTAAACATACTGGTTTTGTCCGTCCGACCACAGACAGTGAACCATAGGCAGATGTTTTGTGCTTTTCGGAAACTCATCAGCAGGCCTGGCCTCAGGTCAGGACAACGAATGAAAGCATAGCAACTAACCTCTACGAGCCCCTTCCCACTTCAGTTGGCCCACTTCAAGATTTGTCCCAAAATATGCCTTTATGACGAAACTATTTACTTCTAAAACAATTTATTTTCTCAAAAACATTTTAGATACACTCAAGTCGTAAAAAATACATATTTGAAATCACTATAACTCTAATAGAACATCTGAACAAATAAACAATGTGCGAATAAATGCCCGAAGTTAACAAAGCAACATATGAAAGATTACCATTGGGAAACATCACCTTTATTTTTTATTACGGCTGAAATGGTTTGGGGCATAGTGTTAATCAAGTTTTGGCAAAAATTTGGTGTGAAACAATCCCATATTTCTTGAAGCTTTTGTCTCAGTTCGGTGATTGTACGAGCAGGATGTTGTCGTAGAACCTTTTTCATCTCGTGCCACAAATGTTCAATAGGTGACAGATCTGGACTGCTAGAAACCCATTTCAAAGTGGTACATTATTTTCTTCCATCCATTTTATAGCCTTTTTTGAGGTATGGCACGCTGCACCATCTTGCTGAAACACAAAATCTTGGCCGGATGTCAGACATTCTTCCATCACTTATAAAAGCGATTCTTAAAATTGCCAAATATTTGTTTGTTTCCACATTTCCATGAATAAAATGAAGTTTTCCTACTCCTTTTGATGACATACTGCCCCATACCATAACGGATGCTGGAAATTTCACTTTTCTCTGCAGACAGTCAACATGGAATGCTTCATTTTTTTTGCGAATAACTCTACTGCGACTGTCACCAACACAAACTTCGAATCGGGCTTTATCACTCCATTGTATTGCACACCATTGTTGAGGTGTCCATTGTCTATGTTCTTTAGCCCATCTAAGCCGATTTTTCTTTTGCAGTGGAGTTAATAGTGGCTTTTCTTTGGCCTATAAACAAGTTGTGCAACTTTAAGGTTTTTTTTATAAGAAAACTTACCTTGCAAGTGCTAAATCCCCGTTTGTGGGCCTCTCTATGGGTTGTGGACTTCGAAATTCTCCTTCCAACAGCCTCACTCCAAAGAGCACTTAATTGTAAATAATTGGCACGCCTGTTTTTCACGATTATTTTTCTTAATGCTCTTCGTTCGGCATTTGTGATATTACTTTTTTTCAGTTATCGTTGCTTAATATTAACTGAACCAGTGCGTTATATCTTCTAACAATATTTCTCACACTGTACCGCGATAAGTCTAACAAAGTTACAATTTCTGAGTTTGATTTCCCAGAATTAAAAAATTTAATTATCAGTAATCGAATTTTCTCACTAATGACCTTTCCTCTACCCATTTTGAAAACCTTAACTACCCAAAACTATTTTAAGCGTATTCTGACAGCTGTGATTAATAAAAACCATTGTCATGACTTTCCATGTGTTATTTTTATGCTGCAAATTTGATTAGGGAGTGATAAAGTTGGTGTTTTCTACTATATATTATCAAAATAATCATTGTTAATATTTTAAACCTATAACACGCTGCTACATTTTCATTATTTGTGTTTGATCAGAAAGATTTCAATAGTTGGGCCAACTGAAGTGGGAAGGGTCTCGTATCTGAAGTATAAGATCTATCATAACAATATAGTACGAATTGCCATCTATTGCCAGAATCGCAGTTTATTTTAACGATTAGCATATTATATCGAAGCAATAAAAGAAGACAAATGAATATTTATTCGTGAGACTTACTATAAAGTGGGCTAGAAAGCTCGTCTTTCGATAGGATGTAGCGTTTACCGTGGGCTGATGGACTTTCTTTGGTTAAATTATCAACAATTTTTACTTTAGCTACCTCTTTAATTCAAACACCCCGTTTAACACCAATTCGTAGACGTGATGGCGGCAAGCGAAAATAAGCATTTCTTTATTAAGTTTCTGTTCGAAAAGCACGCAGGCACCGCTAATGCACTAGTATCACAACAGAGAATCTGAACTTTATCTTCAAGATTCCAATCAATAATAGCATCCCAAACTACCTGAGCCTAATCACAAAAAATTTTGAGTCAACCTATTTGATGTCATTTTCTCAGCGTTCATATTGGACCGGGTAGTCAAGTCATCGTTGGTTGTCAGAGCGGTCCGTGGGACCTTAGCTCTTGAGTCACAGTGTCAGTTTGTAAGTCTGTCAGGTCTGGTAACCCAGAAACCAGACAATTTTAAGGAAAAAAGGGAACGAAATGAGAGAAGGAATAACGAGAGCAAAGGGGAAGAATAGAATCTTTTAGGATAGGGAGCGTTTAGGCATTGTTAAAATCACTTCACAGATTTTGATATGGTCTAAAAATATTCGATTTTTTCTGAAGATTTTGTCAAAATGCTCCAATTGGACCGGGTAGTTTTCAGTAAAGTGATTTATCACTTTGATGTCAGGCCTTTCCTATACAGTACATTTTGTCTGCAGGTATTCCGATGTCGATAAGACCTAAGGCGTGGTTGTATCTATGCGGCGGTCGAGTGCTGATGGAAAGACATCCTCACGTGTACGACGAATGTCTTCGATGCGACGGTAATCCAAAATACATTGAGGATATCAAGAAGGATATCCATAGACAGTTTCCCATGCATGAGATGTTCAGTTCGGAAGACAAACCGGGGTGGGTATTTACCTAAAGATTCTGGTATCCCTGATTTTGTTATCTACGTATAAAAAAAAGATTATTGATGATACGGATCCTGGATAGACAACAATGTACCGTGTCTATTTTTTCTTGTTAATTTACGAGATATATTGTACGATAATGTATATTTTTTCCAGGCAACAAGAGTTGTATAATGTCCTGAAAGCGTACACAGTGCATTTCCCTGACATTGGTTATTGTCAAGCGCAAGCGCCTGTGGCCGCATTTCTCTTGATGCACATGCCCGCTGTCCAAGCATTCTGGTGTTTGGTCTCAATTTCCAACAGATATTTAGAAGACTATTACTCGCCCACTATGGAGGTGGTGCAGAGAGACGGACTCATACTGCAAGGTAAGAGCCGTTTTCGAGATTCGAAACGTTGAATTTTTTCGTTCGATATCAGCAACGTTTCTGGTCCGGACTTGATTCCTGACATTGACAAGCTGTTAGTTACTTAGGTGGCAATTTTTTTATGATTAAAATGGACGGTGATTTGCAGGTCTTCTCAAGAAAGTGTGCCCTCCAGTGTACAGACATTTGAAGAAAGTGAATGCCGAGCCGATGTTTTATTGTACAGAGTGGTTTTTGTGCGCGTTTACCAGGACCTTACCGTGGGACACACTGTTAAGGATTTGGGATATATTTCTGTGTGAAGGGGTCAAGGTGCTTTTCAAAACGTCGCTCGTCATTCTTATAGGTGAATATTCATTTTGTGACTACATATTACAGCTTATACATATGATACAAAGTGACCTTTTAGAATCACCCTGTATTGTACGGCTATTAATCAAAAGACGTCTTCCTAGAAATCAAAAGAGTCAAAAATGGGGGGTGCGACCCAGTATATCTGATATTTTTGCTTACAGGGTGTCTTGGTACCGCAAAAAGCCGCAAGCAGTGTCCAGGTTTGTGCGAAACTTTAGACCGATTGAGGAATCCCCCGGAGGACGTGCTGGCCGAGGAACATCTTATCTATAATGTGAGTTGAAAATTTCGCGAAACGGAAACATAAAATACGGTTCGTTTATTGATAAAAATGAATCGGAATTGAATCGATTGTAGGTTACCAGGCTTGACATTAGCGAGCAAGATTTCCAGGAGCAGCACCAAAAACAAGCAAAGAAGGTGAAAATGAATTCTGTCAAGAACACAAATGGAAGCTCCAGATAATAAAAAGGTATGTAATGTCGTGCGATTTTGCTGTTCATAACTTGAGCTATTTTATTATTTTTCTAGGCTGTTTATCTCTTTGAGAAAAGGACTGTCGGATATTGATTTTAAAAAATGACTCAAAAAGTATTCAGTGGCATTTTCTTTTGTAAATACGAATTAACTGTAAGTTTAACAGATTATTACCAAATATATTGAACATATATTTTATTCTGTATTTAAATATACATTTTGTATTAACTTTCTTGAGAGTATTATTATACATATTTTGTAATTTCTGATGTTGAATATATTGTATCATTATTTATTTATGTTATGCATATACGAATTGAAATGTAAATTATGTTGAAGTCGAACAGCATTTGATTTGCAATAAAAATTTTGGTTTCGTTTGAAATTTATTTTCCTTTATTTTGTTGAAATAAAATAATGTAACTCCTGTGATGAAAATGAAAACACATATGCAGGAACGACGACTTGGTAGAGCGGCCAGAAAAACAAGGATTGCTATAAAAAAATGATCTTTCAGTTTTGATTCAGGATCTTGAAATGGGTAAGAAAGTAACTAGTCATGAAATTTTGTAGACAGGTCATTGATTTTCGTAGGTTTTATAATTTGTTTGTTGGTCTTTTAGGGCAGTTTTAATTCAGATAATCAAAAAATTATGGTTTTTCGAGCATCAAATATACCGCACGTTTACGTTTTTGGATCGTTCTAAATATAAAAGGTGTCTAATAACTTCTAAAGTTGACCATTTTTGAAAAATCCAAAAATGGGTATATTGAATGAGTAACAACTCAGTCAACATTAATAGTTCTGAGCTTTCCAAGTATCTAAATTGAAGTTTCTGGAAGACTTTGAAGAGTATTTTGATATCCACATTATCTGTTAGGACAAAAATTTTGATTTTTGCAGAATGTACATGTCCCCCAGGATATTAAACAAAACTCAATAATTTTTACAACAAATATATTTTCCTTAAGTTACAAATTACTTCTTGGCTGCTGGTTTTGGTTTACCAGCTGCTGGCGCCTTAGCTCCCTTCTTCTTGGGCTTAGGTTTATCGCCACCCTTGGCCATCTTCTTCTTGCCGTACAGCGTTCCGTTCCTGGACGCGGATTTGCGCAGAGCCAAGAAGGTCGCTGTACGGATGTGATTCCTCCTGCTGCGCGCGCGACGCAGCTTGAACCGGTCGAAGTCTGTCAACGCAAGACGCTGAAAACAAAAAATGATTCCTTCTAATATATGAGACGACATTGATGAAGTCTAAAACGCAATTTGTTTTTTTTACTCAGTGTGTGTAAACTGGCTTCAGATATGTATCAGCCGGCAATTCCTATCAATTACGGTTCATCATTGTAAGAAATAAAAAAAAATTTTTTGAACCTAGATGAAAGTTTGAACTTTCTGAAGAGTTTAATGTCAATGAGGTTCCAGTACCAACAGAAGCTATTCCAAATTATGGTGAAGCTATTAAACTGATGAGGCAATTGAAAAATTTTGTCAAAAATGAGGGAGATGCAGTCTTTTGAACAGACACTTTTAGCTGGTCCCATTGGTGTCCATCGTAACTACTGAAAATTTCTAATAAAAGCATGTTAAAAATGAGTTACCTTCTGTTTGGAAGCAACTTTTTTAGCCCACACGGATTCAGCCCATTTCTTGTCAACCTCGGAGTCCGTCCACACTTTACGGATAACCCTGGTTGGTGCCGTGAAGGGAAACTTCAATCTGAACTTGGTCAAATGTAGTTGATTCAGACGAATTTGGCCTCTGGGGACTCCACTGCTGGGTCCATCTACCAATACCTGAGATCGGAAACAAACTTGCTAAAGGAGACTTCTTCTTCAGTTACTGAAGATATACTTTAGTTGTTTTAATGTCAGTGAGTGTAAACTGGCTTCATATATGTATCAGCCGGCAATTCCTATCAATTACGGTTCATCATGTTAAGAAAATTAACATAAAAGCGACTAATTTTCATTCACGAACACACGGTGAGGATGACGTTTATGGTTCACAAAGGCACAACATTTTGGAAGTACTTACTCTAGTCTGGTCGATCACATCGACGATCGTGACGAGTTTTCCCTTGCTGGGGCCGTCGGAAACGACGGCTACCCGGCCCGTTTCTACGAACCTTTGGAAGGGCTGCAAGAAAATGTGGATATCAGCAAAATGAGGTTAGCTATTCACGTGTAACGGTGTTTAGCACTATATTGACGGAAAAGAACCTACTATTCCGCAGATTCGGTGAAATGGAATCGAAGCGAATATTCAAACATCGATCCAGCGTAAACAGGTAAAATAAAAATGGAAAATTGTGTATCTGGCGACAACTTACCATGCTTGCAAAGTTTGGAAAGGCGGAGATCACAGAACATCATGCTTAGGACAGCTTTACAAGATGGCGTCGCATCTGTCAGAAGTGACATATGTCAAGCACGGAACGCTGAGTTCGGAGCATAGAGTAATGATGGAGACAGAACCAACGTCCGTAGGTTTGTTCCAACAGGCGGAGATTTGGGTTCAATTGTGATACCTGCAATTTAGAAAGTGATCCACTGTTTCGAAGATTATGATTTCCGACACACGCGGTGGTTTTAATTATTGAAAAAGTGCGCTAAGTTTGAGAGAAAAATATTCTTACGATTACTCAAATTAAAATAGCTATTTAAGAAAGAAAAATAGTTACAAGTCACGATGCCAACAATGTAAGAGTAAAAACATTTCGATACCAAACGTCACTTGGATCAAATTGCGCTTGCTTTGGAGTTATATCATGTTTTATCAGCCTGAAATTTCCTACAATTTAAAAAGAAAACATATCTTCACAATAGGAGAGCGCTGACACGCGACAAGTGTAATCTAGAAATGTTGGAAGGAGAGAAAGCAGGATGACAATCAAGGAGGCCATAAACGCGCCCTACAATTGTAGGGACGACTGACGATACGGGCTTTAGTACTAGCTGTTGGACACATGCTTTGAACTCGTTTTGTAGCTGTACCTGTGTTGCCTAAACATCATGATGCTTCAGCTGTCAATGCTTGTCTCTGATGTCATGTAACATCTGCTTCAGAGATGGCATTATTGGAGGTCTAAGCTGTAAGTTGTATACCATAGCTGGAAGGAAAGGGCAGTGCATAGTAACCATTTATGTGATAATAATCTGTGTTGATGATAATTCCATTGGTTTCTTGTTTCAAATACACTTTAGATGTATTCAAAGCAAGAAACTAGATGCGCATCCACTTTATCTTATTTATTCTAGAAATTTCTGAATTTAAAAAATGAGAGACATAAGAAAAGAAAATCCCTGGTTGGTGAAGTAATTAACTTTATACAATTATATTCACTGTACACTGTCAAATTACAAGTCACATACTTGCTAACAGTAATTACACGCAACGCTGGGGCGGTGGTGATTTCTCGTAATTCTCCTTTTTGACAACACAAGATAAACGGGAAAAATCGCAAGTTATACACAACCTGGTTTTAGAAAGGACCAAAGGACAACATATAAATAACCCTTCGGGAACAGCTAATTGATATATTTCATTGGTAGCATATCCAGTAATCATTTTATCACATAGCAAATATCACTGATTTTATAGACATGCAGACCAATAGGCATAATCATCCAGGTGCGATCATGCTATTCAATCAACTTTCTTTCTTCCACATCTTCCCAGAGAAAAACATTACTTCCACAACATTTCTTCATAGATGAACGCTTTTCATGACGCTCACAGTGAACCTAGCGAGCAAACGTGGAATGAATTACTTGCACACAAAAAAACACCTAGTCTACAAGATGAGATTTTGTCTTTTTTTACCTTTTATATATAATCTAGACATAAAATATCTAACCTGATACACAGGATACATAGCAACAGAGGCGGATTTAAGATGACGCAAGCGACATAGTGATGCGTCGGGCCCCGGAGTTTAAGGGTATCCCCGGACGAGGTTTATGGGGTCTCCAAAAGTATGGATACAGTCAAAGTTTATGTTCCCAAAATGATGATGCTTCAGTACGTAACAGCCCTGTCTTCACTCACTCTCCAACTACCACCAGAGTCAAAAGAAACATCATGTCTTATTAAACAGAAGCGGTAAATAATGGTGATTGCACAAGCGTAGAGATGATCGATATATCGGTACCGGCGATCTTTCCCGGTGACTTGAATGGTCGCCGTTAGTCCCGGCGACCTGATTCTCCATGAAGCAGCGACCCAGATCGCTGTTTGGAAGTATCGGTATCTGTAGCAGTACAGGGTCGCTACAGCGTAGCCTAACCTATTTTGTTAGTTTTTATTGTTATTGTTGTGAGTTCCTGTTTCATAGAAAAATGTTTCGTTTATTAAGCAATGTTTAACATACAAAAGAAGCATTTTTATGCTATATTTATTATGTTTTAAAAGTTTTATTTTGACTGGTAAAATAGTATTTTGTTTTACTTTTTAAGATTCATAGTTTTGTGCTCAATATTGTTAAAAACAAAAAGCTTAAATATAGTTTAATTCAGATCTTCAGGAACCTGAACATCTAAACCTCGTTAATATCAATGTATAACCGCCGCCAAATATCGAGTAATTTAATCAGCGCCAGGGAGTCGCTGGCTGCTGGCAGCGACCATAGATAAGCAGTGACCTAAAGCGCTGCTAAATCTAGCGGCGACTTTAAGGTCGCTGTCACCGGTATCCCGGCGACTTGCAAGTCACTGCTAAGATCATCTCTACACAAGCGACTAACGGAAGTTCAATGTCAAAGTGGCTTTGAGTATGAGGTGGAACGAACCTACTTGTGGAAGCTTGCATGTGATTGGTTACTCTGGGCGAATTGTGATTCCTGGTGTGTAGACAATGTTCGCACAAGATTTGCTATCTATCTGTATCCTGTTCTGTGCTGTGATAAAATCAACAACAAAAAGGAAATTCCATGGAAAGTCCCAAAATTTCCCATCTGTTTTATCATCTTTCATTTTCACGTTTGTCATTTGTGCTAATTATTATCAAAAATTCGATGTGGTTGTGAACGGAAACGAGGAAATTTCCGAATAATTTCGATGCGATCAGGAAATCCGCCTTATGTAAATGAATACCGGACCTAGGACAAACTACGGTGCCTCGTCGCAAGGGAGCATGAATTTTCCTCGGTCGCTACGAACCTGAACTGAAAAGCACTTGTTGTACGTAAGCTGCTCACTCCTTGAACGCTGTCCAGCAAGCGATTAACATACAAAAGGTGATCAGAAATATATTTATAGAGCGATGAATGTTAAGTTCAAGTACTAGCGGTCGAACATCGGGGCGCACACTATTTACAAACACGCAGAAGATGCGCTGGATCGCCTATTTAGAAGGGGGCCCTAAGCGTGTCAACCACGCTGCCGTCAACGTGGGGCACAAGATATACTCCTTCGGAGGGTACTGCACAGGGGAGAACTGCAAAGATTACGCCTCGATGGACGTACATGTTTTGAATACAACCACGTTTAGGTGGACACCGCATCCTGTCAGCGATCTGCCTTATTTTGAAAATGATGATATACTCCCGTATAAAAGGTAAGTTTTTCAATCATAGACAACTGTCCTGATGAAAAATCCTATTTTTACACCTATTATGTATCTATTTTAAAATATAAAATGTAATCTGTATAGACTATTGCCAGTTACAAATGAAGTAGGTATTTGGCTAATGTTTTCATATGTTTTCCAGCACTTTTTGCTATTTGTAGAATATTTTAGACAAATTAGGGTACAAATTTTGTAGACCTGTTTAACTAAACAGGTTTTCATGTCTACTTATTTAACCTGATAATAAATTATTTTTTACAATCATCTCAGAACAGTAAATGTGAACTTTGATGTTGCTATTCTGTTATTGAATTTAATTATAGATTCTCTGTTGTAAACAATATGTGGATGCTAGTCAGTATTCTTTTAAATAATTCTTCAATATACTTTATTGTGTAATTATACACAAATATACATTTAAAAGACACTAAGAGTTAGATTTTTGGTACTTATATTTGTTCTCTTTGGAAGAGATCAAACAAAAAACATTGCTTCAGTCAGAAGTTTGCAGTTGAAATACACCAAATATTTTGTCATTCTTGAATTCCATCTTTGCTAGATTTTTCTTATACTATAAAAGAGGAGATTGCATAGGTAAATTTTGGGTTATAGCTTTTAATTAACTCACATTCTCAATAATTAAGAGCATGATCTACAAATACATATTTTAAATAATTATAACAATTACATAACATATATAACATAAATGTTTATATGTGAAAAATTATTATGAAAAGAAATTATCTTTTATTATGAAAAGAAAAAGTTTGATCTCTAAGAATGTTCACTGTCCATGAAATGATGATTTAGTTTTCTTTTGAATGTCTTTAGCTTGCAAGTAGACTTTATATTTCTATTTAGTTGATTGAATTTCTTCTAAAATGTTTATTTGCTATTACTATTGCAATTTTGTAGATCAAAATCTCTACTTCCTCTTGTACAATAATATTGCAATTATTCAATTCTATGTAATGCTCTAAATGTTGTGGCAAAAGATGATATTTTATTCTCATTTTAGTAATACTAATCAAATATCATAAGAAATTTTTTTCATTATACAGGGTTATCCAAATTAAGTGTCCTCCATTAGTAACTTTGTTATTAGTGAAAATACAAAGTTGTTTGAATTAGCAAATTAGTAGCATTTTTAACACTGGTAAAAATGAGAAATAAAAAAACAATTGAGAGTCGTTATTTTGATTTTTTTCAGTAAAATAACATTTTTTTAAATGGAAACCCCTGTATATTATATTTTTTTCTGTTAAAGCATCAAATTTTAAACAAAAAAGCTTACAATAACTTTTCTCCTAGGTTACAAATTGTTGAAGTTATGGCCTCCAATCTGAAACAATTAAATTGTATCGACAAACTTTATTTTCAACATCAACTTATAATCTTACAAAATACAATAACAATTTTTTTTAAAGAAAATGCTCGAAAACACCACCTTGTTCTTCAATACATTTTTGGGCACGTTTTTCAACTGCTCGAACTGTCTTAAGTATGGTCCTACCATCTATCTGGGTTATCTTTTCCCTAACTGCAGTCTTTAACGCGTCAAGGTTATCGTACCTTCGCTTGTAAATTTGGTTCTTTAAGTAACCCCACAAGAAGTAATCAAGTGGGTTTAGATCTGGTGATCTGGGAGGCCACTGTATTGGGCCATTTGTTCCTATCCACTGATCATTAAAAGTAGTACTTAGAAAATGATAAGTACCTCTGGAGTTGTGGGCAGGTGCGCCATCTTGCTGAAAATGCAGATGATGTCTACTTATAAGATCCAATTCGTCTAAGAAATTAGTCAGAATTTCTGACATAAATTCCACATATCTTTCACCAGTTAGGGTTCCCTCATAAAAGAACGGGCCAACAATTTTTGAACCAATTATACCGCACCAAACGTTGAAACTGAAACGGACTTGTGGGCCTCTTGGATGTACTAACAAAAGATTTTCTCTTGACCAATAATGGTGGTTTTTTCTATTAAACATTCCAGAATTTGAAAAATTTGATTCATCTGTCCATAAAAGGTAACGAAAGTTATTTACATTTTGGCGACAGAAGCTAAGATACCAATGGCAAAAAACAAGTTTTCTCTCTGGATCCCCTGCCAAAAGCGTTTGAACTGGTCGGTACTTATACGGAATAAATTTGTATTTTTTTAAAATCCTTTGAACAGTACCATAACTGAAATTAGAGTCCTTGAGAATATCTGCTATTGAATTCTCACGATAAGCTTCAAAATATCCAATAACTGCAATTTCCGTGGCCTCGCTTATTATGAATTCTTTTTTTGCCCTTGTTTTAGCAAAAACATTTTCGTTGCCCCTAAATTTTCGATAAAGTCTCAGAAAATTTCGTTCATACGGTTGAATGCGAGCGGGATATAATTCACTTGCTCTCAAGGAGGATTTTCTGCACACTAAATAGCATTCTAACATATCACACTTTTCTTCATGGGAGAACATTTTTCTTTAAATTAATGACACAATAAAGCTTATAAACAAGTATTTACACTAATGTTTGACATTATTTGATTTTATCATTGTTTTCCAAAGCCTTCTAGTTGCAAGTATGTCCAGTTTAACAATTTGTCGCTTATCTTAATGCTGTCAAATCGCGAACGCCATGTTGTTTTCATAGCCGTCTTAATATTATAATACTGCAAATAATTAAAAATATTTATCGTTATTTTGACTTTAGCGGAAAAGTCATTATGAACTTTTTTGTTTAAAATTTGATGCTTTAACAGAAAAAAATATAATATACAGGGGTTTCCATTTAAAAAAATGATATTTTACTGAAAAAAATCAAAATAACGACTCTCAATTGTTTTTTTTTATTTCTCATTTTTACCAGCGTTAAAAATGCTACTAGTTTGCTAATTCAAACAACTTTGTATTTTCACTAATAACAAAGTTACTAATGGTGGACACTTAATTTGGATAACCCTGTATATTTAAAAAGTTGCTTTCCAAATATATAATTATGTTTTTTAAAATTTCCTAATATAATCATCTTTTAGGTATGGTCATACCGCAATAGTATATGGAGATAAAGTGTACATTTGGGGTGGTCGCAACGATCGAGCATCATGTTCTACTTTATTCTGCTTTGACACAGTATGGCACTGCTGGACAGCGCCAAAGACTACCGGAAGTGTACCGCCAGCTAGAGATGGACATACAGCTTGCAAATGGAAAAACTATATGGTAAAAACTCACCACGTTTTTTCTTCTGGCAGACATTGAAAAAGTTTCAAATTCTCAGCAAATACATAATTGAACTGAGACTTCAAAAATATTATCCTTGTAATTATAATGCAATGCATTTTGCATATCTATACACATTGGCATTCCAATATTCTGCTAAACAAATCATGTCTTATTTAGAATGTAAGATGATATTAAGGTAGTCCCATTTAAAAATATAAAGCGTAACATAATATCTTATTTTTAGTTCACCCACTATTGTACGTCCTCCTAGAAATCAAAATTGACTTATTCAAGCATTTTTACAAACTGTACCAGCAGAGTCACAAATAGGGGTATGACCTTTTCATTGGTCCACCCTGTATAAGTAACACTAATCGCATATTGGGAAATCTTATGAGACTTCTGTGTCATAAGGTTTAAAACCAGACCTTTTTCTAAATTTTGATATCTAGAAACTTTTGTCTCTGCAGCATAGAGCGGTGAGATAAAAAGTTTTTTGAATTGTTAAACAGACAATTTTTATGAAGTCTTCTTTTAAGCTAATGCTTGATAGATTCGAACTATTTCAGATTGTATTTGGCGGGTATGAGGAAGAAACAGATGCATTTGGAAGATCAGTTTATTGTTTAAATCTAGATACAAAGCATTGGACATATATAAATATAACTGGTGAGTAATACTTTTGGCATGCGATCTTAGCTGGCCCAGATTTGTTATCACTATGAACCTCTGCAACTCATACATACGTCTTTTTAGATTATATGTCTCTGACATTTCTGGAAACATCTATACTGTCAGAATCTGGATAAAATACACATATGCAAGGTTAGGTGTTACCTTGCACTGTACAATGGTTTCATTAATAATTTTTACATTATTACTTCCGCATCTAGACGACTTATTATTCATGACATTAGGAATTACCAAAATTCATATTTATGTTTTAGTTCTGTCAAGCAGACACATATTTGAATATGGCAGAAAGTTTAACAGTACTCTTTATGAGGATTCATGGATAACTGATACAGGGTTGATTGGTTTAAAACAATGATTTTTTTTTGTGAAAATCAGTATTTACATCAGTTTTTTTTCACGTAAATTCGTGGATTACACTGGACAACAAATTTTAGTTTTTTAATTGTATCTTGTGGGAAAAGTGCATTTCTTTGTTAATTTTGGGGCGCTGAATCCAAAAATGACAATGAAAAAAAAAATAGTTGCGGTTTAGAAAAAAAAAATTATTTTTAAGGATATATTAAAAAAAGTAACAAGATTCATATACTTATAAGAATCACTATATGCGCTATTCCGCAATTGTCAGGAAAAAAGTCCAGGTGTGAGTGTAGGAAATGTATCTTAAGAGACATATTACAGCCCATGTTTTGATACGATGACAGCATATTTTTGACAAGGGTTTTATAGTTGTCAGCTTTTCTATTTCCCAAGAAATTAGTGACCACCAGACGGAAATCATTCCAAGCAGTTTTTTCAATACCTGTTAAAGTGTTTTCAAACTGTGTATCTTTCAAAATATTTCGAATCTGTGGCCCAACAAAAATACCTTCTTTAACCTTTGCCTTACTTAGTCTTGGAAATTTCTGACGCAGGTATTGAAAAGCTGACCCATCTCTATCTAATGCCTTGACAAAGTTTTTCATTAGGCCCAATTTGATTTGCAGTGGTGGTAATAAAATTTTTTCGAATCTACTAATGGCATATGCTGTACATTTTTTTGACCTGGCTCTAGGAATTGACGAACAGGCCAGTTTTGTCTGGTGTAATGAAGTGCCTTTGCCCGACTGTCCCATTCACACAAAAAACAGCAAAACTTTGTGTAGCCTAGCTGCAGCCCAAGTAAAAGTGCAACAACTTTCAAATCGTCACAAATATGCCATTGGTGCTCATCGTATTTTATGCATGTCAATAGGTACTTCATATTGTCATATTATTCTTTCATGTGAACTGCATACCCTACAGGAAGAGATGGTAAAATATTTCCAATATGCAATAACACTGCCTTTAAACTCAATGTTGAACTGTCTATAAACAATCTCCATTCTTCTGGGTTATAGTTTATATTTAAAGCCGCCACTAAGCCGTTAATGTTACTGCAGAAAACCAAGTTATTCTCCATATTGAAAAATGGTTCTGTCTTTGTGGCGTTTACGAAAAACACATACCGAAACATCGTCTTCTAACAAGTTCCACTGCTGCAGTCTTGATCCAAGTAACTCTGCCTTACATTTTGGAAGTTCTAAATCTCTTACAAGATAATTTAATTCTGACTGTGTTATTTTATGCGGTTGGTGGCATGACGTGCTCGGTATAAAATCAGGATCTCTTGACGTTGATGGCATATCTTCTTCCTGACGAATCACTTGATCGCCATGATCTGATTCGTTTTCTGATTCGCAAGTGTAGGGTTCTGGGGGTTTTGGAATAGGATTTTCGTCACTGTGAGGCACAGGTCTCGTCGCAGATGGTATGTTTGGGTAGTTAATAACCGATTTTTTTTTTCTTGGACATACCTGTGGCTTGTCCAACACAAGGTACCATGCAAAAGTAACAATCATTAATATGATTTGTAGGCTCTCTCCAAACCATTGGGACAGCAAAGCGCATATACCGTTTTTTTTGCCATTTAACCAGCTCCTCAGACTTGAAGCACATGTATTACAGCAGATGTGGGGTGCCCACTGTTTGTCTTGATCACCTAGTTTACAACCGAAATAAAGCTGATATGCCTTTGTTATTAGTGGAGTAATAGACCGTCTCTGAGACGCAAAAGTCACATCACCACACACGTAACAAAACTGATCTGGATTGTTTACACACTTTCGAGACATCTTGCATGAACGCTGTCAGCCAACTGAGGAAAAAATGGCTAATATAAAACAATATAATGTACACGTATGTATAACGTAACACAATCATGCCGATTACATCATCTTTCCTTGCCGAATATAAAAATGTAGCACGTGCATTCTTGTGAATTACAGTATATTAACACTGTCATAGCAGGAACACATATAATTACCGTATCTCTAAAACTCGAACTAATATTGAAAAAATAAGTTTCATTCCGGTATTAGCACATTAAAAATAGTAATATTTTGTTGATTTTATTTAGGATATTTTTTGGCTGTTGATCAGTGTTATTAGTAGGGTAATTATAGTCAAATCAGCTACATAAAGGAAAAATACTTATTCAAATGCAGAGTTATAATTTATTAATATAAACTGTGTTATAGAAACCTAATAATGAATTAGAAACTCTAATCAACAACAACTACTAAAAAGGAACACCAACTGTGGTTTCTGTTATATTTTTTCCGAGTTACTCTCAAGAGATGCCTCAAATGTTGCAAGATCAATTTCAAAGATCCTTCATCTCAGGATGAATGGAAAACCGTTTTCCTTTTAGCGTAATTTTCACATGCAACGAACAACTAAATCAACAGACTTGATGCGGGCGGCTACTATGCACTCATGGACATGTTCCAACATGCAGCCTCCTACGTCCGTTTGTTAAGTCATATTGCGAAACTTTCACGGTACCCTTTGTATTTTTATTTTATTCTGAAGCACGTTTTATTGGAATTGTATAGGTGAGGAGCCGAGTTTGCGAGATTTCCACACTACTGTCTGTATCGGCGATCGCATGTACTTGTTTGGAGGCAGAGGTACTCTGCCCTCAAGTTGGTACATAACGCCTCAAGAACGATATTGCAATCAACTTTGGTACCTCGATTTGAATAACTTCGTTTGGCGCAGGGTTCCGGTCTCCGGAGATATACCTCCAGGCAGAAGAAGTCATTCAGCCTGTGAGTATATACACTCGTACATTGCATGTTTCCCATGTAGTTTTTTGACGTGGAAATTATCTCCTAAAAATTATATTGATAGACAGTACACGTTTAGTTCCTCATCTATTAAAAAGTCATAATATTTCTAACAGATATAACGAGTCCAAAAATAAAGCATGACAGGAAAATATTGGAACAGTCACTATAAAGTGTTTTAATAATTTATTCAATAATCTTATATAATAGTCAAATGTCTAAACTGTTGTCGTGGTTTATTTTAGTTGTACAAATAAAATGATTTTTCAGTTGTGTACAAAGAGAAAATGTACATCTTTGGCGGGTACAATTCGGTGCAAGAGCAGCATTTCAATGACATGTACCAATTCGATCCTGAAACGAGCGTATGGAAAAAATTGAATCCTCCGGGAAAAAGACCGTGCGAAAGGCGCCGGCAAGCCTGCGTCACAGTTGGAGATAGGGTTTTCCTTTTCGGGGGCACTAGGTATGTATTAAACATATGCGGGTGGTCTGAATAATTTTCGACGTCAACGCGAAGATCATAAATAAAAGCTAGCGAATTTCGTTATTCATCTGTTACTCACCAAAGTTTCACCAATTTTGGACGCGCAGTCGTTTGACTGAGTGTTTTTGTGGAAATGGACAAAATCGAGCATCGAGCTGTCATTAAATATTTGTTTTTGAAAGACAATACGACCACGCAAATCGAAGATGAGTTGGATTCCGTGTATGGCGACTCTGCACCGTCATTTACCACCTGTGAAATTTTGGGCAGTTGAATTTAAACGTGGCCGTAAGAGCTTGGGAGACGATGAACGTTCACGATGTCCAAAAACTGCAACTACCGACGGAAACATCGCCGAAGTTCACCGAACGGTGCGAGACGACCGCCGAATTAAAGAGAGAAAGAAAGCGGAGATTATGAACATGTCAAAAGGACGTGTTGGTCACATATTAAATCAACATTCAGGCTTCTTCTACGGAAGACTCTTCAGACGAATCTCAGCATAGCTCAGAACTCATTACTTTCCTAATGCGTGGAAGATCTCTGAAGTCATCATGATCCCAAAGAAGGGAGGTTCGATATTCCCCTAGGATTACCGTCCCATAAGTCTGCTCTCATCTCCATCTAAGCTCGCTGAAAAGGTGATTTCTCGTCACCTTGAGAATTTCTCGTCAAATCACCAAGTGATCCCTGACGTACAATTCTGCTTTCGGTCTGAGCATAGTTAGACTCGCGGAGCATGTAACCAGGGGGTTCACCCTGAACAAAAGTACTGGTATCTTGCTTTTGGATGTATTAAAGTCATTTGACAAGGTGTAGCACATGGGCCTCTTGTATAAGCTCATCCAAAAGGGTTTTCCATTTTGGCTCCTAAAACTGTTGAAATCTTTTCTAGAAGGAAGTTTCGGATTAAAATTAGCGATGTGTTATCAACAACACGGCCCGTAACAGCCGGTGTTCCTCAGGGTTCGGTCTTAGGACCAATCCTTTATTCACTTTATATACATGACGTTCCTTGCCCCAGCAACTGGAGTCTATCTCTATGCTGACGACACTGCACTGCTAGCCCAGTCTTGTTCTGGTAACATGGTTCACGACAGGCTGCAGAGTGCGGCGGAGGAAGTATTGAAGTGGGTGGTTGATCAAAATTAATACTTCGAAAACGCGGGCAATCTATTGTGCTAAAAAACCTCGCGGTGCCCCCTCAGAGATATCAGTGAATGGAAATCGTATACCATGGGAGCAATCGGTCAGGTATCTTGGAGACATCATCGACAAGGGGTTGACTTGACAGAAACATACTTGATCAACAAGATTCGGTAGTATAAAATGGCCATAAGACCCGCGATCACCTACACATGCGCGGCTTGGTGTTTTCTTGCCAAGACGCACATGCAGAGACTGCAAGTGCTACAACACAGAACCCCACGCGCAAATACTGACGCCCTTGGTACGTGTCAAATGAGACCATTCACAGAGATCTTGATATCCCATATCCAAGGGATTATGTAAAACAACAGACGCAGCGGCGTTATAATCAAGCGAAATCGCACAGCAACCATCTGTTGCGTGATTCAGTAGACTACACAGTCGAGCAAGCTCGCAAACATTCCAGGCCGCGCCTCGCACTGTGATCAAAATGAAATTGTAAATTCAGACCAGCCAAAATTATTTCAGCATACAAAACCGATCAAAATTATTGTTTGGAGTTACAAAATAATTCGAGTAGTCAAAGCAATAATAATATTTCAAATGATTTACTTCTTTTCTTTGCTCTATTTCTTCCTTCCTTTCTTTCCCTTTTCCCCTTAAACACGTTTGGTATCTGGGTAGCCAGACCTGACAGACTATCAGACCGACGAGACTTTTAACTAAGAGCAAAGGTCCACCGGACCGCTGTGACGAATAGTATGTCAACATTCAGGCATGAGAAAGCTGTCCGCGCGTTGGGTGGCGCGTTTGCTCACGTTAGACCAAAAACTTGATCGAGTGAACATTTGCAACACTCTGTTGGCGCAGTTTGTTTAGGCGCAATATATCCGAGTTTAGGCGCCGATTAATTACTGTAGATGCTACACCTACACGCCCGAAAGTCAAATACAGTCCAAACAGTGGACTGCAAAATGAGCAAAAACTGTTTTTTCGGCTGGGAAAATGATGGCGATTGTTTTTCTGGGGTAGTCAGGTAGTTATTTTAATCCATTGTTTTCAAAAAGGAAAAACCACTACAGGAACATACTACGCATCATTACTTGACTTGTACTGCTTGACCAACCGCCTTACGCGACTACTGGGAGCATCGCTGGGAGACGCGTGTAGAGTCACACATGTTGAAAAATAAAAAAAGTTTCTTATATCTTTGTTAGGTCGGAAACTTTTCAGACCACCGTCGTATTTTGGCCTAACCAGCAATACATTGCAATATTTAACTACTTTTAAGCCTTTTCTGCAATTTCAGTCCTGAACCGTCCCGTTCGTCCCACGATCAAGACGTGGACGATAAGCTGATGGACCACAGCGATATGTACGTGCTAGATTTCAACCCTTCCTTGAAAACGCTGTGCATGATCGCCGTTAGGAAATACAAACTAGACGAATCCGTACTGCCGCACATCCTCAAGTAAGCTGACCCTTTTTTCCTAAAAAAATAACGGATATCAAACTACTAGCGCGATCCGATAAGTACACAGCCTATAACATTTTTTCGCTAGACAAATGTTCATACACCTTCGAGGAGTTTTTTGTTTAGATTATGGTTTTTTACTTTTTTAATTCGTCACCGCCGTTTTCATGACCTTTTTCATTTTTTATAGAATTTTCTGTCCCATTGAACATACATTATTATTATTACAGGGTGGCCAAGATATAACTGACTGCGTCCGTATCGTTAAAACGTTTTACTTAAGTAACGAGTCGATTGTTGCGACGATTCGGGAGCTACGACAAGATTTCGATCGAAATAATGTGCCCATAATACTAAATAGAAATAAATATGCATCAATAAATCAACGTTAAAATAGTTTAATATTAAAAATTTCAACAAACACCTAGTTATCATTTTTATTTATTAAATGAAAAATAATTTAGTGACTAACTGTAAATGCCGATTATAATTTTTATGATTCCAGACACAAGCACGATTTCCATTTAAACGCGTAAAAACGCAGTATATGTTCGAAATAGGTTTTATATCAACAAATTAGATCCGGATATGAAAAAAATTTAAATCAAAACCTAGGAATTATGCTAACATTAAAAATATGACGCTGCATGCATAAACAACAGGGTGGGTCATCAACTTGAACGGATCTTAAAAAATCATGGAAAAAAACTACAAAGCGTAGGGAAGACAATTTATATTTTTAATAAAGTACACAAATGGGAATAGAGTAAATGTCGATGGTGAGACAAGTGCTTTAAAAACAAACATGAAATCAGTAAAATTCTGAATGATAATTTGTTTTGCTACCCAAACGATATTTTTATGCTAATTTCACGATTTTTCAATATCAGAAATGTTGCATCTTTTTGGTTAGTTAATAAAGACAACTGATCTTTGGATGTGGGACGAAAATAAAACGATGTTAAAAATACAAATTTCCCTTTAATTAAAAATAGTCTTTCCAAGATTTCTTTAGGTAATCAGATTTTTTTCAACGTTTTTATTTCCAAAACATTTTTCATCCGACCATTACATCTGTAATGATTGAGCTTAATGTAAAGTGTTTGTAGAATTAACAATGTTGTTTTTCATTTTAATTACCACGTTCTTTTTTTCTTTCAGGATGGACATAATGAACATGTTCACCCCAAATAAAATTACAGTAAATCGACCGAACAATTCTGCGGGTTGAGCAACAGTGATATATACGTAATTTATAGACCTCAAAATTAGCTCCTAATGTATATATGTAATTTTTCGTTCATACAGGATTGTTATGGAAAAATTGAGCGAAGAACAACTCCGAATTTGCATCAAATTATTTGATTAATTTTTGTACATACATAGAGAAGTTATGTTGGCAGATTTTTTCAAAGTATTTATTGAAATTTCTATTTATTATTCTCCGCAATATACTTGAAAGTATTAATCAGAAAATGATCCGCGATTCTATTTTTGTCGATTGACTGATTTGCTTCTATGAATGCAAGCGTTGTTGATTTTGGGTATGCTAAGGCTTTTTGATTGGTATCTAATTTCTGAAAACTGTATTTTTTTTCGAAAATATAGAAATTACCAGCGTGAAACAATTTGTTCGGCCTTAGGGTGCTTCAAGATGATTTTCACAGATTATTTTATTTTTCTATATACACACAACCTTTGTTATTATTGTGAAATTATTTTTAATACAAAATTCCATCGTACAGAGCGTTTTATTTCCCATTAGAAAACCCAAAGCTATGCTAAAATTCAATTACTATCGATGGCTACATGCGAGCGAAGCTTTCCACAATCAGGTAATTTGGGGCGCTGAATACGAACATTATAGTGGAGTGGAGCATGGGAGAGTGGGAAACAGTGCGGTGTTGCCGAACACAACCTGACACAATCTCGGCTTTGACAAGTATGGCGTTTAATTGCTCTTTTTTAGTTAACCTCTTTTATTTGTGTCCGGATGTTTGGAAGGTAGGTTGGCCCGATAATAATAAAGATAATGGCCACGCAAGACAACTATTGAAATATACCCTACTATACTACAACTATTTAAAACTGTAATGACTCATACGCGTGATCAACACGTGATCAGAGCTCGATCCCGGCTTCCTTCCAGTACAGCCGTATAGCGTACGACATATGTCGTTTCTGTGGCTTTGCGGTGGTGAACAGTACAGACAGAGATGGAAATAATGGCTGATTGTTCTCCGCCGGTAGATCCAATGAAATCAAAGACGCGCCTCGACCGGCACACTCATAGGCGTCGGCAACGCATTGGAACGTGTTTCGTTGAGCGATCGCATGTTGTGTGTTTTTATAAGAATTGTTGTGTGATTGTTATTGTTGTGGTTTCTGTGGTTACTGTTTTGGTTATACTTAACCATGGAGAGTACAAATGGCACGAGTGGAAGTACCGACAGCCAGGGAACAAGTAGACGGCTTCGTAAAGCACTGAAGAGGGACGCGAAAGAAATCGTGCTCAACGTGTTCAATTATCTGAACAGAACTATATCGCAGGGAGATGCACTCGCGCGTTCTGAAAGTATGACAGGCGTTCCAGAGTGGACCATTCGCAGGGTGGTGCATGAAAAGAAGAAAACTGGAGCTACTACTGATCCAAAGTTTAATTTGAAGGGACGAAAGGCCGTTAAATTGGATGACGATAGCAAAATGGCGTTAAGGCGAACCGTACATTCATTCTTCTTTAGGAATGAGATACCAACCCTCAAGGCTGTACATGCAGCGATCAAGGAAAATGAAATTATAACCCAAATGAGCGTCGAGGTAATGAGGAAATCCCTGCACGAAATTAATTTTCGTTACGAAACGCGTAATCGGAAGTCAGTATTGATAGAGAGACCTGAAATAGTCGTCTGGCGTCGAAAATACCTACGCGAAATGATTGAATATAGGCGACAAAGCAGAAAAATCTAATATTTGGACGAGACATGGGTAAATGCAGGTCACACAGTTAAAAAAACCTGGATAGACAAAAACGTAGTGAGTAACCGACAAGCAAGCATTGAAGGTTTGTCAACAGGTCTTCGTGGACCGTCAGGGAAAGGTCAAAGATTGATCGTAACTCATATTGGTAGCGATAGTGGCTTTTTAGAAGAGTGTGACTTGATTTTCGTCTCTAAGAAAGGAGGTGATTACCATGACGAAATGAATGCCAGCTGCTTCGAGAGCTGGTTTCAAGGGGTGCTTCAGCGAGTTGAGCCCAACTCTGTGATCGTCATGGATAATGCTTCCTACCATAGTCGTCGAGCCAGAACGTGTACCGACTATGGGATCTCGAAAAAGTGACATGCACCAATGGTTGCGCGAAAAAGGAATCCCGTTTGACGATTCATGTGTGAAAGCGGAATTGTATGAAAAAATTAAACAGCACAAACCTGCGAACATTAGTTACGTGACTGATGAGATGGCCCGTCAATGTGGTGTCACTGTGCTGCGGTTACCGCCCTACCACTGAGAACTGAACCCAATAGAGCTCATCTGGGCTCAAGTGAAGGGTTATATTGCGCGCCATAACACAACCTTCAAATTACCAGACGTTAAGGTTTTACTTGAGACTTCCATACAGCTAGTAACGCCCGAAGCTTGGCAGAATGTTATCCGTCATGTTGTGAAGGAAGAAACAAAAATGCGGCAGCTTGACCACCACATCGACACCATCATAGAGCCAGTTATAGTCAATTTCAACGAGGAAAGCGATAGCGACAGTTTATTACTGTCAGATGTAAGTGGAAGCGACGATGAATAAAGGTAATTCCCAAATTTTTGACTTACAATATGTTTCAAACCACTCTTTATTAAGCATGTGACAAATCTAGTTCGCCCATGTTAAACATTCATTCCCCGCCTATGAACAGCCGACTACTGGTAGTTAAGTGATGTTCACGTGAACATCGATGAGTCATTACAGTTTTAGATAGTTATAGTATAGACTATCCGAAGCTCCGCGCGTCTGCTCCCTGTCAACGTAAACATCATCATCAACAGCACACACACACGCTTCAGTCTCTCGGCAACCGTCGACGCGGCGGCATGTCTAGGCGTTCACAGCTCTGTGCAGAGCTCTATAGGGTTCTAGATTGTCTCTCAGTATTGCTTTGGTGTTTTAGTGTTGTGACGTGGGTGTCAAGTGTCTCCAAAGTGGAAATTAGGTCTACCTCCAACTCTTCTGAGGGAAACAGGATATCTGCGCAACAAACGAGGTGAGCCTTGCATACTCATCTAGTTGTGTGTTAGGGTTGACATCCTATGTTTTTTTAATAAATTGCGCACATTGCATACACCGAGAGATTAGTCATATACTCAATCGCCAGATCAATATTAGTCAAAGAATCACTTCCAAAGCGACTCATTTTCACTAGCACTGTTTAAAAACAATCTTATCAAAGGTATTGTAATTTTTGGTGACAACAGCTGACAAACTTGAAATTTTTATTTCTACACTGTTCAGTATTTTCACTGAAATTGAAGACCGTTCCAAATAAAAAATGCGGATTTGCTCATAAACGGCTTAAAACATCCATCGCGAACATAACTTTGGGATTGCCTGCGATTGAATAAAGTCATCGAAATAATAATTTATTGAGAAGAAAATATATAAAGAGGAAAAATTACAGCATAAAAAATGATATTGACAGCAATGATACACACATCAACTATGTTCACGTTCTCTATTTTGCTCTGTAATAATTACCGTGTTGCAGTAATATTATAAAAATACACCTATTTTAAACAATCGTGACACTAACTTGCTTTGGAACCTACACATTTTTTTTTGTATCTTTTTCGCACTTTTTGATTAGTACACCCTCACTAAATAGCGGCAGTTACACAGCAAAATAAAGATAACAGCATACAACTGCGAAATCGTATGAGCTAGTGCTTGCTAGACTTCACGAACTCTTTGAATGCCGCCTGGATTTCTTCGTCCATTTCGGGTTCTGGATCACATAGGTCGTCTGGATCGGAATTATCACTGCAAACAAAAAATGATGCCTATCACCATCGAGAGTGTTAACCCCCACTTCACCGCTTTACGGCGGAATCTCCAAAATTTCTTTCTAAGTGCCAGTGAGAAAAAAAATATTACAAACTTAATGAAAATAAAATATTTTCTACTATCAACACATTCTTGAATATCATTCCGTCCAAATGTTTGTCATCCCTTCAGACACGAATGTCGAATGTTGTCCTTAAGCTCCTCAAGTGTTCGTGGATTATTGGAATACACTTTTTGACTTTAGATAACCCGACCAAAAAATAATCTCTTGGCGGGAGGTCGGGTGACTTAGGAGGCCAGTCAATGTCTCCAAACTTCGATATAACTTTTTGAGGAAAACGTGCTTTCACCGTGACCATCGATTAATAGGTTCTTACTTGGAGCATCTCTTGATCGGCGAATGTTGTATCGTGTACAAAATTTCCGAAGGTCTTCTGCGTATGAATCACAACTCTTAAAGTAAGTCTCAATAGCGAAAGCCCGTTACGATCCGGTCCAACGTTCCATTGTGACTATTTAACCCGAAAGCGTCGATCAACCTCTCCCCACTTCCTCGCGTATACGGTTACCGCGTAATTCAAATTTGAAATGTCAATTTTCCCACTGGACATCAATTCAAAGATCTTTGAAAGACTGACATCTATCTATAACTACGTTGTAAATCTGGTAGTTGAAGAGTACCGAATTTGCTTTGCGAGAAAAGCTCGAGATCTTACATTTTTACAAGATTTGAATCAAGTTTATTGATCGCGCACCAATCATTTAAATTATCAAGGTATCGTCGGGGATTTTCACAATCGTTATAATGTTTAATTTCACAGCAAAATGCAAGAACAATACCTGGCATACTCTTCATTCGAGTGCATGTAAGAAGCTATGAATTCTGACTCTTCATTTGTTAATACGTTTCCATCTGGTTGATAAAATACTGTGTTTGTCACACCTTCGTACACATGGTTGTCGATTTCATATTCTGAGCTATAACAATAAAGAGAAAAATTACAGAGTTACATATCGAAAGTTTCAGAAGTTACGTTATACGGGTGCGGCGATAATTGAACTTCGGCTGTTGTAGGTTATGAAAATCATGCAGAGTAACTTTTGAATTATGCTCAATAAGAACCCAGAACACTGACAGAAATAAGTGAAGTATGTTATGATATACGAGGTTTGTCCGGAAAATACGTATAAAAGTGGAATAACCTTATTTTACAATTGTTCGGGTATTTCAATATGGTTTCCCCTGAGACAAGATGCACTTGTGAGGCTCTTTATTTGCCTGACGACCATTATTGCCTAGCTTTGCGAGAAACTTGATGTTGAAGCGCCGTTCCTCGATCAGAGAGCTCCATACCGACGGCAGGTAAAAAAGGGTTACTTTCAATAAGCACATGTAAATCCTACTTATACTTTATCTGAAGTCACTTGAAATAGCATAAAAACCTTTGGTCGGCGCGTCCTTTGTAATTTCATGACGTATCATAGGCGTGCGGTCATTTATTTAGAACGATAATAATAATGTTTTTATATCACAATAAATGGATTTTACTATCTTATTTTTTTGATTTGGGATGAAAAATACTTATATTGGGAGTTTAATTTATGTTGACTGAAAGTTAAGAAATGGAAAAATGACAGAATTCCAACGTTTGACATAGGCAAATATTTACATAGCAGGTAGGTATATAAAAAGGTATATAAAGACTTACATTATACGTATTTATATATCATCCTCGCCTTCGGAGCTGTCGCTAGAGTCATCTTGTAGAGGAATTACAACGGGATTTACAGGAGGCAAAACACAATATTCATTTTCTTTTTCAATAATATGCCTAGAACACTGCTTCCATAGGTCTGTGGCAGCAATATGAGATACTGCATCTCTTATTGTGGCCAATAGCGATTCACTTAATTGAGGGGTCTGATTATGTTTTCTTACTTTTTTTTTTAAAGCAGCCCAGACCAACTCAATCGGGTTAAAAATGCAGTAATAGGGAGGTAGACGTAATACTTCATGGCCATTTTGCTGAAGCAGATTGTCAACAACATACTCTTTTTCAAATTTTTGTCTTTTAATAAGATCCAATAATATGGCTTTGGTTGATTTTTGTGGTATTTCCATTCCCTTATCCTTCATAAAATCAATAATGTCTTGTTTTTTGTGCCTGTATTCGGAATTTTGTTTTTCTGTCGGGAATGGTATGGCGCATTGTCCATAATAATCAATGAATTTGGGGAAATGTTTGGTATTAACTGCTGCTCTATCCACTTTTCAAATAAGTCGGAGGTCATGTCCTCATGATAGTCGGCACATGATTCTTTGATATTTTTGGCAGATAACAGCAAGGCATTAGGTATAAATCCATTTTCACTGCCAGCATGGAGAATAATGATTCGTTTTCCACAGTTGCATGGTGCATTTAAAATGCACTTGTTGCTGTCGTCAACCCAGCCGTACTGCACAACATCATGGGTATCATATTACGTTTCATCCATGTAAATCAGATTTCTTTTCTGCTCTCTATAGATTTTAACTTTGTGCAAAAATTCTTGGCGCAATTCAATGATTCGAGACGACTCCATAATCACCATTCTTTTATCTAATTTTTTGCATTGAAAACCACACAGTTTTACAATACAGTGCAGTGAGTCTAAGCATTTGTAATTATAAAAATCTTCAGGATAATCTTTTAATTTATCCCGTATCATTTCCAACGTGGGCACCAAATTTTATTTATTAGATCCGTATATTATACGACGAATATCTTCCTGAAAACCCACGTCTATTCTTTTTAATTTTTGCCCTATGCGCTTTCTGTGGAAGGAATGGTTGACTACATCTCCCCTTTTTATATCCCGATAGATGGTAGACCGACTGATTTTTGTCAGGATACAAATTCTGTTTAAAATTTGATTTTGCGAGGAATCTGGATTTTCGTTTTTCAGACAATCATACATATTTAGGATTACTCTTTGGGTCTGTTCCTCTAAATCTTTATGAAAGAATTCTGCCTGCACAGGTTCATCAACCATCTCCTCGTGGCTTGGAGCATTTTCCCAAGGTCTCCAAAGAGCCATATTTAGGACACACAAGAACAATCAACACAACAATTAAATCAACAAGTAAACTGAGTATTCAAAAGTCAAAAACACACAAACTAATAAAATCTATGAAAAAACACGGACTAAAGAAAACACGTTTATTCACCGCTACACGGCACTGGCTAAACTGTTTCAATTTTCAGTAGCCACCTGCACTTGTTCGGAGCTCTGAAATACACGCTTTCTCATTGGCTATGTCCACACATAGGCGTGCTTTACTCCACGTGGACCGGTGAAACTGCCTTTGATCTTATACGGGGGATATTTGCTGCGAAATTTGGCGATTTTTGCAGCAACAGAGCGTGTTAAATATAAATATATAAAACGCACCCGGTATTGCACAGTGTTTCAAGTGACTTCAGATAAAGTATACTCGTAGAGCGCTCCGGATCGAACTGAGCATAGAGAGGATTGCATAGAAAGGGAACCACCGGGCCACCACTCCACAACGTCTTGACCACGACGCACAATTTTTTTATACTCATATATTTTCCGGAAAAATTCATTAGAAATTAAATTATTGCAACTACAACAGGTCCCTATATTATGAATACTTAAAGTTGTTATTGTTATCACTTTGAAAAATAAAGAAATAGTACTTACTCAGTAGAATCGCCGGAGTGTCCCCAGTTCGAGTACCTAAGGTTAATAACTGTATTTAGCAGAGTTGTAACATTTCCACCAACGGCATTTTTTATGTTTTCCAGCTGCTCAAATACTTCATCGAGATCATTTTTATTGCTTTTTTCGAGAGAATAGCCTGTCAACTGAAACAAAAATTCGAAATCGTTAAACGAGGTTTTTGCTAAAAAATGTCTTAGGACTAGGTAGAAGGAGCACGCATACGATTTGTTTGTCATGCCAGTTGACATTTCACTTTGAATTCGTATAAAAACGCGTGGATTCCATAAATTCCTAGTGTTCCAGATGGTTACCGAAAAAGCAGTTTGAACTGAAGAGCAAATATGTTTATCGATAAGCGTTATATATTATAGTCATCGGTGTTACAAAAGGGAAAAGCACATCCTTAAGATATATCATCCCTTTTGAAGTGTCTCTTCCCAAAATTGTTTAAGAAAAGTGCTTATTCTACAAAAATGAACTGTGAAATACTCAATAATTTATAATGGTCTGAAATTTTACATGTGCCTCCCTGATGCTATTAAAATAACTAACAATTTAGAGACGGTCCACAGTGAACTTAAAAACTTCCCAATATGTAAGCCACATTATACCACGTGTGAGTTCTATAGATCACGTACTTGAGATCCACTATGTTGTTTCAAATTCAAGGTTCCTACATTGTTTTTCAGGCACAAGGAATTTTTTATTCGAAAAATGAATTCATCATTCGAAAAGTTGATCTTTACCTGAGCAATTTCACAGCTGGCGGTGATGGCAATGAATGGCTCTATTGCGCATGGCTGTAGGGCCGGGAATGGGCATCGCAAATGGGCGCTTGATGTTGGGATCGGTGATGGGGGAGCCGGCAAACACGACGGTATTGCCAGGTTTCGCCTAGCATCACGCGCGGTAAAGATAGAGCGTTGGGAACCATATTTTTGTTTTGTTTTAAGTTAGCTTCGACATTAAGAATGATCGTATCCTTCATCCAACAAATAATATTTATCTACCTACAGCCTTCTAATCTATGGGTATCCGTTGGTAGCTACTGAGTCGTAGAAAATTATCTTAATCACTAAGTCTTCGTAATAGCTAGAATTTACCTTGAGTGCCTGGCAAATGCATTTGACATTTTCATTTCCGCCTATCGATAACAGCCGCTTGAAGGAGTCGACCAGCAGCTTCCCATAGACGGCTACATGCGGCAGTTGTGCGTACAGCTCGGCGATAAACAGCAGAACATTGTGCATGTTGCGGTTCTCTAGGAGGTGCTTCTCGCAACGCAGGGGAAGTTCGGCCCTGAACTCGGGGCAGTTCTGTTCCAGATGAAAGCACAGACGCGCGCCGGAATATCGGAAATTCGGGTCGGTGATCGCCTACGTTCACAGAAAAGATGGGGTCGAGTAGATTGACTATATTGTTCCCGCGTAATACTGTCATAAATTTGGTTATGCTCGGTTTGTTTCCAAACCTGATTCTATTTGAAATATGTGTCAAAAAAATCGATCAAAGCAATGGCAATGGCGCTAGTTAAGCGGGAGGTCATGTCGGGAAACATTGCAAAATCCACTTTTTCATGATTGGAAGAAGGTTGCATAATTCACCGCACCCTCAACGAACATTGGAGGCTCTACATAACCAAATTTAGATGGCCTGGCATACCAAGAAGACCAATAAATGCCAACGACGTGACGAGTTTGTTTCGAGTTAGAATTTTAATCACTTTCTATTTATCAGTAGACCTAAAACTTGTGAAACTATGCTCAAGATTAAAGCACTCCTTGTCGGTGTTGCATTTTCTATATCATTTAGTATATAACAAAAAGGCGGGCCAATTCTAAATTCTAAAAAACTCAAATCGAATCGAAGCTTGTCGAGATATGTTCTGAATGAATTTTTTCTTGTCGTATCTGTAAATATACCATGTTGATAGCATGATTCAAACTGACTGAATTAAAAAATATTACGATTGACAGAATGTATGAAATTGCGCATATTGCTTTATTATACAATATTTGCCATTCCATTATCATTAAATGTTTATCAATTCTTGTCAACAAGACATGATCATTGTTATCAAGGCTGAACAGAAAGTGTTATTAAACATTACAATTTGCGATCTTCTAACGATTATGATTTTGTTTTGTAGGATAAATAACTCAATTCATTTGTAATTTATTACAAAAAGGTTGTTTTTATGTACAGAAGTGTAAAGATGCCATTTTGTTGGAAGAGAGCTATAGTTTTAGTTCCCGTTTTTGGCGGGTCAAAGTAAGACTACCAGTATCCCTTTATACAGGGTGACTTTGAAGTTGAGTCATTAATTTTCAGATAATGATTGCACAAGGAAGATAAACCAAAATATGTGTGTAAAAATAAAAAAAAAAAATTACCTTGTTTTATAAAGTATCCTCCCGACAAGTATTTCAGTGCGGACCTGTATTTGATCGTGAGGTCTTGGAGCACCGGCATGCCATCCATATGTGAGGTCTTAAGTCAAATGATTCACGAACCCGTTGTACTACATTAACAAAGGCACGAGGGGTTGGTTGCACTCGATTGGGAAACCGATCCGCATAAACATGTGCCATTTTTTATTTCGTTTGAGCCACGCAACAGACACCACTATCCACTACCGACTGACACTGACTGTATACAACTGAATGAAATAATTGTAAAAACATCGTTCCAAATTCTTTCGCTTTTTTGTTTCCGATGCGATGAACCGATAAGGCGAATTATATCCGTTGTCGCCAAACACGAGCACATAATATTATTATTGAGACAGGGCGGTACTCAAACTTCCCAAGGGGTATAACTTTGTTACTTTAATTTTACCAGAAAAATGGTAAAGGAAAAAACATTTCTTTTGATCAGATCTACTCACTGTTAAAATAAATGACTCAACCTCGAAGTCACCCTGTATATCTCAAAGACATACGTTTTTCAATTGTGTCTCATTCTCGAAACGATCAATGGAGAAGGCCGACAGCTCCTGATAAAGTTATTAGATTATTTTCAGGAAGAGAATGAAAACAGCGGACCACTGTTACTGACTTCATGTTGACTGGAGAGAGTAACAGGTGCGCTGAAGATTAGTCTGCGTAGTGTTCCGCCCATGGTATGCAGACTCGATCTGTTTACTTATTTTATATGGCGTTGATGACGTAACCGCCAAGAACGGTGACTACCTATGACCAAGCCTGAGATCCAAACAACGGCTAACACACATGGGGTAAATCTATCCATGCCACTGTGAAATATTCTAACTCAAGTTTAAAAATCATGTTTAGCAATAATAGGTATGAACATTTGCTTCTCAATGCTGATGTTTTTATCTCAAGCTTACACATTTTGAAAAAATATTCCTGCATGCAAAGATAGGATAGTCAATACAAATATGGAACAGAAAATGTCCAAGATCATTGTATTAAATTTGAATGTAATACCAACATAAAATCACAATTACTCAAATGCTTGTCTGACCAATAAAACTACAGGTATTTACAGAATATTCAATACTGTACACCTTTGTGACTAAAACATTTACAGTAAAGAAGAATATGCCAAAAGATGTGGTTTAATTGGCCAGACAAGAATGTACACCACAGGATAAGTTTCATTACCCAAATTTGGTGTGAAACACAGTCCACCTGCAGTGTTTAGTTTTTGAGTAAAAATTAAGAGGCATTACATTTTTTGTAAATTGGTTCAGTGGTGACAGAACCGTCATCAAAAATTAATAGTACGTCACCATACTTCTCTAGTATAAAATTAAGAGTGTCATTTCAAATTCAATCGATCGATGATCCTCCATCAAATGCTGACTGTAGGTTAACCTAGTTTACAAACAAATTGCATTTTAAAAACCAAAATTGGCACATTCCTACAACAATAACAATGTTATCAGTGCATCTGCAGGATCCTATTGATACTCTGCAAATGTATTCAGTCATTCTCAATATTTCCATCAAAGATGCATAGGTTTGTTTATATGGTGCAAAAAGCTGTCACGGTTGATACATTGGAAGACCAAATGTTAAGCAATCAAACTCATGTTTTTGAATCAAACAGTGACAACTTACCACAAAGCAAAGTCTCAAGTTTCAGGATACTCTGTAAAGTTTTACATAAACATCTAGGGCTATATAGAAACTAACAGCAAATTGAGATTAAACTTACCAAGGGATTAATTTTGTATTTTAACCTAGACATACTATTTTTCTCACCATTCATAAATTGTGGAATAATGGGTTTCTAAAATGCACTTACCTCTTCAACAAGAATTTTCGCAACAGTAAAGAGAGTCATTAAATCATTAAAATATGGAATAAGAGTTTCCATAAATATATCCAATAGATTATCGAATTGACCTGGATCTCTTGACAATGTAGTTATGATCTGTTTTAACCTTTTTATATCATCATCAATATTTGGAATTGCAGCTGCAGAGTGATTTTGTGAATGATTCGAATCATTGCCATGCCGTTTGTGGATCTTCAGCCTGTTCTGCAGACTGTTGGAGAGACTGTCCACCCTCTGTGTCATAATGCTGTTGTTGGGAAACCATTCGGGGGCATCAGCTTTCAGGGATGATTTGGCGACGATCTCGTTCATATCCTTTTTAGTATCTGTTTCCGCATTTTCCGTTTTGAGGACAACGTCAGGCGCACTTTTTGGCAACCTTATAGAAGACGCATTTGCTGTACCTTTATCCCACAACACTGGCTTGTTCTCCATGGTTATAGCTGTGTAGTTCAGATTTCGTTTACATTCACTGAGCTTCTGTAACGAATACGGGGATTTGATTTCCAAAAAATAGCACAAAAAACAAAATACCTTCAAAAATCCAAACAACCTTTGTGATCTTCACTTGCCAGGAAAACAACAAACTGATGTTGACGTCTTTGACAGTGCTTTGTTGTCATTGCACGTGACAGCGAAGTTGACGTTTCGGTGACAGATGCCGTGCTGCGTTGCCGATATCTGAAATAAATATTTGATTTTGATACGTCTCATACGGGGGTTGAACGATAATAATCAATTCTGTGCGAACAAAAGGTGAAATTTTTCTATCAATCAATCTATCCGTACAGCTGTCGCCAACCTGTCACTGATCGTGTCCAAGATGCTGATACACAAATTCCACTCATGCAAGTGTCGATTTTTTTGACATTATATTGTTTTTTTGTGACAATATGTAGGTTTCTCTACAAGATGTTAACTCACCACTAGCTGATGGACACGTTGTGGACTCGTTTTGTAGTTGTACGTGTTGCCTAAACGTCATGAGACTTCAGCTATCAATGTGTGCTAATAATATGTGTTGATGATAATTCCATTTGATTCTTGTCTGAAATACACTTACTCAAGATTCAAACCTAGACATTAGTTTCGCATCCACTTTTTCTTATCCATTCTCGAAATTACATTATGTTAATTTGCTGAATTTAAAAAATGTCAGAGATATGAAGTAATTATGTTCACTGTACATTGTCGAATTACATGCTAACAGTAATTACACACAACGCGGGCGCGGTGGTGATTTCCCGTAATTCTCCTCAAAGTTTTTGAAAACACAAAAAACGTGAAAAAATCGTAATTTATAACTTGTCTTCAGAAAGGACAACATATAAATGACCCGTCGGGCACAACTAACAGATATGCTTCTTTTGCAGCATATTTAGTAATGATTTTCTCACACAGCAAATATATACACATCAGACCAATACACACAATTATCCAGATGCGGTCTTGATATTCAACCAACTTTCTTCGCAGAGATGGAAACTATAGACTACTTCGCTTCTCAAAACATATGCAACCAATAATGCATGTAGTTGAGCTATTCCTCCATAGATGAACGCTCACAACGATCCTAGTGAGCAAACGTGGGATAACTGTTTGCACCCTAAAAACTACCTAGTCTGCAAGATGACATTTTATAGGTTGTTTTGACGTTTTATAGGTTTTTTACAAAATACTCGTGCGAATCCCAGACACAGTTACCGACAAGTCACCGACCACTGTACGAATAACCCTTAAAAGTGGTACTGAGAAAGTAGCACTGTCTAACGAGAAAGGGTTGGAGTTTTGGTTCTGCTACCGTCTTATAGATGGTGCTAACATCTGCAATCCATGCTTGGCTTCTCTAATGCCTATTTCAATCGGGTATCTTCAGGCGTCGTATTCCACCTGAATCAAAATATATATTAGAGAGTCCAAAAATGGCTTCGAGCATGTTTTATTCAGCTCACCACCAGAACACAAAAGTCGATATCAACGGTCAGACATACAAACACAAAAATGAATTTTCAAATCTACGTTGAAACTGTAGTATTTAGTTCTTCCACTATCTTATAGATCCGGCATAACGTTATTTTTGAAATTCATTACGCAGCAGGTATCGTGGCGCATTTATAATCATATTTACTCGAATACGTATACCAAACCGCATAGAGATTTTATCACAGAACACTGCGCGACAATGCTCTTGTTAACGTTGTGTGCGGTGGTCGATTTAGTTCCTCCCACTATGAACTTCGCCCCGACGACTTCCCCTTGAGATTCAATATCAACCGCCACCACCGATGTGTGAAATTCTCGAGTGCACCCCGTATACAGATTGGAGGAATCGGAAAATTGTAATCATTATACAGTGCTAGGGTACGTTCCAAATAACATTTGGCAACGCTGGCTCTACCTTCCGATTAGAGATATGTTAGAGACAAAAAGCAAAAATTGACATGGTCGGGTTTTCATATGCATAAATTTTAGTCTTATTAGACGGTTTTTTCTGTTTTTCCTATTCGCGTATCGATTACCGATTAACTTAGTACGTGTAGTGACCATCTTTCCGATCTAATTTTCATTTTTTTCGCTATCGCAATGTCCAAGTGAAGTGTAAACAATTAAGCAATTAAAGTACCGTGGATATAATGGCAGCCTGTTTTTTAATAAAATTTTAATAAATACGGCAGATTTGCATGTGTTCAGTGAGTGAGGTGGTTATATTGTAACATTTTCATAAAATGAGGGCACTACCTCGGACCCTGCTATTTGTTTTCACTAACTTGATATGTCTCAGTCAAAATATTGTAGGTAAGTTGACATCCTGCATGTGTTTCTGTTTTCGTAGATGTACAAGGTATTTGGCATCTCATGAATTTGATCGACAGAGTTCATACCGGATTACTTCGCCGATAAGTTCATGCTTGTATCGAAATGAATTCATCAAATATAGACCGTTATCGGTAAATGTTTCACTGCATGTCCGATTAATGTAGATGAAATGTTTCCATCTGATTGAAACAGCCATTAGATTTTAATAAGTGATAACTTCGTAATGGGTGAATATACGTTATTGAGTTTCCAGTGTCAACTAAAAAACTAGCTTATTTTGTTTTGATATTCGTTATACCCCATTTCACGAGTATCCATCACGATAAAATTACAGCTAATTATCTAGTAATATCTCAAAATTCCCTATATCGGCACAGGGCACAGAACACATAATTCTGACGTATCCGTCAACGTCACATAGTCAGAGCCAGAGCCGTTTTTGTTTTGTTTTTTTGTATGCTACTTATAGATTAATTTTGTACTTGCTAACAGCTCTTTTATTTAGGAAAGGTTCATTTGCAAACAAAATGCTATAAACAATTTTTACTAGATTTACATCCGATTCATTATGGCCAATGTTGCAGACTAACACAAACATGTCACTAGCTGATCAGCTGTTGACGTCAGTAGGCGTCAAAACGTGATGGATACTCGTCAAATAGAGTTTAGCGATGGTCTTGATGATGATAGTCCGACAATAACCCATTTTGGGAGTATCACATGAAACATATTGCTGTCGTTTTGGATTGTTAAGATGGTTATGCCTATTGTAAGGATTTAAATCAACCTAGGATCGCAAAATGCAATCAATATTGGTTGCACGTATTGACGAATTTTATCATTTAGAAGCATCGCGAATATTATTTATCGTTGGATTCAATTGTTTACTACTTATACAATGTATAAAATGATAATTTGCATATTACTTGCTATTGTTTGTTGTGTGCATGGAAGCCCGTCTATCATCTTGAATTTTTATTCTGAAATGTTTCAATATTACCAGTTCAGAATTCTTATCTTTTATGTGTATTATACATGAAGTTATCATATGCATCTCTGAGCAGATATATATTATTACCGCTCAGTCATGGTCATGGCCGTGTCAGTTTTAAAAAATTTGGAGAGTTTATGTGTTTACAATATTAAAGAAAATGTCGATTGACTTTCATATGTCCGTGCCTGTTTGGCATTTATTTTACTGATAATGTCGCATTTTAACGAAATTTTCACGGTTTACTATCATGCTGATACTGAAACAAACTGACTGTTTTGAAAATCGGTCTAGTGGTGGGTGGCAGAGTTATGAATGAAAAGCTAAAAATTTCAGATTCTCCATGTTCAGATATTCTTCTAGCTTTCGTTAATATTTAAGCCTAGTCCTAGTATAGAGGAACAACCGGTTTTAAAAATTATGCTTCGTTTCGTTTTTCAATATCTGATTACTTTAAGGAGCTTTACAAAACGTATACGGTCAAAATGCATGGATATCAGTCAGTACTGAGTGAATGTTCTCAACTGTTTTTCTAATGGAAAAACCTTTTTTGTATTTTGTTAGTGCTGTCATTTTTAAAATCCTTATGCAGAAGATGAATGTTACAACCTACTTGATGATATATTTTATACTCATGAATTATATTCCCATGGAGTTGTTAGCAGAAAATCAAAAACCACAATTTGCAGCTGGCTTTAGTACAACAACAACAACGCAGCTAGCGTTTTCCACCAACAGCCCAAGTAAAACCGGAAAACAAAATCTAGAACGACGATATTAACATTCGAACTAAAAATATACATGAAAAAATAGATCGATAAACTTTGGTTATACATGAAGCATCAATGAACTGTTGATGAGATAAAAGAGATAACATGCGGACCGACGTCAAAGTCTCGGTCAGTGCGTAAGGAGCTTATCTGAATGACGATAACGTATTACAAAATTGTTGCGGTTTTATAATGCCAGACGGCTGAGATCGCGCTAGGGTCAGAATTGAAGTGTTTGTCCGCTACGCTGGCAAACTTTTCCCAAGCAAATAATAATACTTCTTAATAATATATTGATATTCGTTATGATTTATGTTTATACAAGCTCGGTTTCGTAAATAAAAATGGCGTCATCAGTTCGTAAAGGATTAAGTTCATCACAAGATGAAATTGGTTACAGGGTGTAATTTGATTGATCGCTGAACATACACGATACGATTCATTAGCTCATTTTAGGAAGAATAGTTTATATGAACATACGTCCTAAATCTCTTAACTGTTGAGCTACAGTGTGTTAAAATTTTAAGAAAAAAATCGTTAATACTGTTCTAGATATTTTCATGAAATTTGACAGGCACCAATAGGCATTTTTTTGAGTAGAATATTTTTTATTATTTCTACCAGTGGCGTCCGTGTGTTTTGCAATTTTGCAAACGTTCGCGTTTGTTACCAATGACATAATCATTTAACATCCTTTCTATTTTTTTCCAGAAATTTGGGGGCTGAAATGCAAATGCGACATTTGCAAAAAGACCAACTATACCTGCGAAACGACAGGATACTGCTTCGCCTCCACGTACTTCAAAAATGGCGTTCAGCAGTATGACTACAGGTAACGCAGCTGTCATTTTATACCGAGTATCCGTTTCTTCTTTCTTTCCTATCGTTGTATTTAGCGAATCCAAATTATCGAGGAAAAATTTAGGAAACAAATAAAACTCATCTGGTTTATTCCGTTTCGTATAATTGGTGTATTTGAAATTGGTCTTACAGCTGATGTTAACAATTGGCTTCTTTGGGGCTTAAAAAACGTACTAAAACGATATTTATTTTTTATACGAATCCGCACGTTCTTGTATTCTCCACTTTTCCCGTCAACGCAAGGTGATTATTGGGTTGCGATGTATACTTTCGAAACAGACGATTTTGGATGTTATATTCGTCGGTCTGTTAATTTTATAACCGTCTAGAACTTGAGATGTCGACGAAATTTTCATACTATGCCAATGACGTAAAATCTTTGTAATTTCGGTCCGAAAACTGTTTGTGCTTAGGGGTTGCAGTAGGCGGGGACGGCTATATTTCAAATTTTTGACGTATGATTAACAATACGCTTTCCAACCCCAGTAATTCTACGCATATTTCACTCATGCGTACGACGTGGTCTTCCGATGGACAAGCGTCGCCGTCGGTGGTCGTACGTCACTGTCGGCAATAGCTTCCGCACCGTCGTGTGCTGCGCGCACTGTGCTTGGTGAACGCTAAAATCGTCATTCACGCGGGATTATGTAGGTTTTTCTGTAAAAAATCAACTTTGGACTAGTTGATATTCACTTTATGCAAACTTGTAGTTGACTTTTTTTATGTCGTTATATAGGTTTTTTACGTAATGACCTTGCAGTACCAGGCGAGAAAGGTTAAATAAAAAAGACGTAACTTCAGGTAGACAGAATACAGGATAATTTTTAGGAACGAAAACTTCACCTTGCGTTGCTTTATGCGGTTGAATACTTATTCTGAACAGTTAATAAGATATTAGGCACAGTCCGTTTCTGAATCAGAAATTTGAATGTACTGAAGAAATTCGGATATAAAATATTCGAAATTGGAATATAACAAAAAAGCGAATATGCTGTCCGTTTTTAAGACAAAGTGTACATGATATTGTTTTTGAGGTGTTTCAAATCCGATATCGGGTATTCATAGATGTATAAACATAACCAACTCTTTTTGTCAATGTATATTGGTCAAAGACCAAAGAATAAGAACCCTATTTTTTGTGTATCTCTTTAAATCCACGAAAAAACTTCATATGGAGTATGTGGGAGAACGTTTCGTTCTCACAAATTGTTTAATAAGAATCCTATTTTTTTTGGAAAAAACTTCATATTTAGGTATGTGGGAGAACGTGTCGTTCTCAGTAATTGTTTAATAAGAATCCTATTTTTTTTTTTGGAAAAAACTTCATATGGAGGTATGTGGGAGAACGTTTCCTTCTCACAAATTGTTTAATAAGAATCCTATTTTTTTTTGGAAAAAACTTCATATGGAGGTACGTGGGAAAACGTTTGGTTCTTAGAAATTGTTTAATAAGAAACCTATTTTTTTTTTGGAAAAAACTTCATATGGAGGTACATGGGAAAACGTTTGGTTTTTAGAAATTTTTTAATAAGAAACCTATTTTTTTTTTTGGAAAAAACTTCATTTTGAAGTATGTGGGAGAACATTTCCTTCTCACAAATTGTTTAATAAGAATCCTATTTTTTTTTTGGAGAAAACTTCATATGGAGGTATGTGGGAAAACGTTTGGTTTTTAGAAATTTTTTAATAAGAAACCTATTTTTTTTTTTGGAGAAAACTTCATATGGAGGTATGTGGAAGAACGTTTCCTTCTCACAAATTGTTTAATAAGAATCCTATTTTTTTTTTGGAAAAAACTTCATATGGAGGTACATGGGAAAACGTTTGATTTTTAGAAATTTTTTAATAAGAGACCTATTTTTTTTTTTTGGAAAAAACTTCATATGGAAGTATGTGGGAGAACGTTTCCTTCTCACAAATTGTTTAATAAGAATAATATTTTTTTTTTGGGAAAAAACTTCATATGGTGGTACGTGGGAAAACGTTTGTTTCTTAGAAATTGTTTAATAAGAAACCTATTTTTTTTTTGGAAAAAACTTCATAAGGAGGTATGTGGGAAAACGTTTGGTTCTTAGAAATGGTTTAATAAGAATCCTATTTTTTTTTTTTGGAGAAAACTTCATATGGAGGTATGTGGAAGAACGTTTCCTTCTCACAAATTGTTTAATAAGAATCCTATTTTTTTTTTGGAAAAAACTTCATATGGAGGTACGTGGGAAAACGTTTGGTTCTTAGAAATTGTTTAATAAGAAACCTATTTTTTTTGGAAAAAACTTCATATGGAGGTACATGGGAAAACGTTTGATTTTTAGAAATTTTTTAATAAGAGACCTATTTTTTTTTTTTGGAAAAAACTTCATAAGGAGGTATGTGGGAAAACGTTTGGTTCTTAGAAATTGTTTAATAAGAAACCTATTTTTTTTTTGGAAAAAACTTCATATGGAGGTACATGGGAAAACGTTTGGTTTTTAGAAATTTTTTAATAAGAAACCTATTTTTTTTTTTGGAAAAAACTTCATTTTGAAGTATGTGGGAGAACATTTCCTTCTCACAAATTGTTTAATAAGAATCCTATTTTTTTTTTGGAGAAAACTTCATATGGAGGTATGTGGGAAAACGTTTGGTTTTTAGAAATTTTTTAATAAGAAACCTATTTTTTTTTTTGGAGAAAACTTCATATGGAGGTATGTGGAAGAACGTTTCCTTCTCACAAATTGTTTAATAAGAATCCTATTTTTTTTTTGGAAAAAACTTCATATGGAGGTACGTGGGAAAACGTTTGGTTCTTAGAAATTGTTTAATAAGAAACCTATTTTTTTTTGGAAAAAACTTCATATGGAGGTACATGGGAAAACGTTTGATTTTTAGAAATTTTTTAATAAGAGACCTATTTTTTTTTTTGGAAAAAACTTCATATGGAAGTATGTGGGAGAACGTTTCCTTCTCACAAATTGTTTAATAAGAATAATATTTTTTTTTTGGGAAAAAACTTCATATGGTGGTACGTGGGAAAACGTTTGTTTCTTAGAAATTGTTTAATAAGAAACCTATTTTTTTTTTGGAAAAAACTTCATAAGGAGGTATGTGGGAAAACGTTTGGTTCTTAGAAATGGTTTAATAAGAATCCTATTTTTTTTTTTTGGAGAAAACTTCATATGGAGGTATGTGGAAGAACGTTTCCTTCTCACAAATTGTTTAATAAGAATCCTATTTTTTTTTGGAAAAAACTTCATATGGAGGTACGTGGGAAAACGTTTGGTTCTTAGAAATTGTTTAATAAGAAACCTATTTTTTTTGGAAAAAACTTCATATGGAGGTACATGGGAAAACGTTTGATTTTTAGAAATTTTTTAATAAGAGACCTATTTTTTTTTTTTGGAAAAAACTTCATATGGAAGTATGTGGGAGAACGTTTCCTTCTCACAAATTGTTTAATAAGAATAATATTTTTTTTTTGGGAAAAAACTTCATATGGAGGTACGTGGGAAAACGTTTGTTTCTTAGAAATTGTTTAATAAGAAACCTATTTTTTTTTGGAAAAAACTTCATAAGGAGGTATGTGGGAAAACGTTTGGTTCTTAGAAATGGTTTAATAAGAATCCTATTTTTTTTTTGGAGAAAACTTCATATGGAGGTATGTGGAAGAACGTTTCCTTCTCACAAATTGTTTAATAAGAATCCTATTTTTTTTTTGGAAAAAACTTCATATGGAGGTACGTGGGAAAACGTTTGGTTCTTAGAAATTGTTTAATAAGAAACCTATTTTTTTTGGAAAAAACTTCATATGGAGGTACATGGGAAAACGTTTGATTTTAGAAATTTTTTAATAAGAGACCTATTTTTTTTTTTTTGGAAAAAACTTCATATGGAATTATGTGGGAGAACGTTTCCTTCTCACAAATTGTTTAATAAGAATAATATTTTTTTTTTGGGAAAAAACTTCATATGGAGGTACGTGGGAAAACGTTTGTTTCTTAGAAATTGTTTAATAAGAAACCTATTTTTTTTTTTGGAAAAAACTTCATAAGGAGGTATGTGGGAAAACGTTTGGTTCTTAGAAATGGTTTAATAAGAATCCTATTTTTTTTTTTGGAAAAAACTTCTTATGCGGGTATGTGGGAAAACGTTTCGTTCTTAGAAATTGTTTAACAAGAATCCATTTTTTTTTTGGAAAAAACTTCATATGGAGGTACGTGGGAAAACGTTTGGTTCTTAAAAATTGTTTAATAAGAAACCTATTTTTTTTTTTTGGAAAAAACTTCCCTTGGAGGTATGTGGGAGAACGTTTCCTTCTCACAAATTGTTTAATAAGAATCCTATTTTTTTTTTTGGAAAAAACTTCATATGGAGGTACGTGGGAAAACGTTTGGTTCTTAGAAATTGTTTAATAAGAAACCTATTTTTTTTTGGAAAAAACTTCATATGGAGGTACATGGGAAAACGTTTGATTTTTAGAAATTTTTTAATAAGAGACCTATTTTTTTTTTTGGAAAAAACTTCATATGGAAGTATGTGGGAGAACGTTTCCTTCTCACAAATTGTTTAATAAGAATAATATTTTTTTTTTGGGAAAAAACTTCATATGGAGGTACGTGGGAAAACGTTTGGTTCTTAGAAATGGTTTAATAAGAATCCTATTTTTTTTTTTGGAAAAAACTTCTTATGCGGGTATGTGGGAAAACGTTTCGTTCTCAGAAATTGTTTAACAAGAATCCATTTTTTTTTTGGAAAAAACTTCATATGGAGGTACGTGGGAAAACGTTTGGTTCTTAAAAATTGTTTAATAAGAAACCTATTTTTTTTTTCGAAAAAACTTCCCTTGGAGGTATGTGGGAGAACGTTTCCTTCTCACAAATTGTTTAATAAGAATCCTATTTTTTTTTTGGAAAAAACTTCATATGGAGGTACATGGGAAAACGTTTGGTTCTTAGAAATTGTTTAATAAGAAACCTATTTTTTTTTTTTGAAAAA